GCTCATGCTAACACCAGGCTGAAATTAAAGTTAAGCAGAGCTCATGCTAACAGCAAGCTGAAAATGAAGTTAAGCGGGGCTGAAGCCAACACCAGGCGGAAGTTAAAATTAAGTAGAGCTCACAATAACACCAGGCTGGACTTAAAGTTAAGCGGGGCTAAAGCTAACACTAGGCGGACGTTAAAAGTTAAGTGGGGCCGAAATTGAAGTTACACAAGTCTAAAGTGAACGTTAACACTGGCCTAAAGCTCATGTCAACACCGGCCCAACGTTAAAGCTAATGCCAGCCCAAAGCTAACCCCAGCCTCAAGTTAAAGCCAATGCCGGCCCAACGTTAAAACCAATGCCAGTTCAACATTAAAGTCGACTCCGGCCTAAAGTTAAGGCAAACATCAGCCTCAAGTTAAGGCCAATGCCAGCCCAACGTTAAAGCCAACGCCAGCCTAAAGTTAAAGCCAACGCCAGCCTAAAGTTAAAGCCAACGCCAGCCTAAAGTTAAAGCCAACGCCAGCCTAAAGTTAAAACCAACGCCAGCCTAAAGTTAAACAGCCTAAAGTTAAAGCCAACGCCAGCCTAAAGTTAAAGCCAACACCAGCCTAAAGTTAAAGCCAACCCCAGCCTAAAGTTAAAGCCAACGCCAGCCTAAAGTTAAAGCCAACACCAGCCTAAAGTTAAAGCCAACACCAGCCTAAAGTTAAAGCCAACGCCAGCCTAAAGTTAAAGCCAACACCAGCCTAAAGTTAAAGCTGACGCCAGTCCAAAGCCGACGTCAGCCCAAAGCCAACATCAGCCCAACGCCAGCCCAACATTAACGTCAAGGCCAGCCTAAGGCCAACGCCAGCCTAAGGCCCACGCCAGCCTAAGGCCCACGCCCGCGCCAGCCCGCAGCACCTCACCCGCCTGCCGGCAGGAGAAGGCGAAGACGATGATGTCGTCGAAGGCCCAGGTGTAGTCGGGGTGCGGCGGGTAGAAGGCGAGCGCCCGCGAGGCCGCCTTGCGCAGGTCCAGCAGCAGCGTGGAGTGCACCATGGGCACCGGGAAGCAGCCGCGGCGCTCCCGCTTCCGCACCGGCAGGTACGCCGGCGTCCGCCTGTAGTAACCCTGGCAGAGGCAGGAGCCGCCTGGGCGCCCGGCACCCAGGGGACCCGGCGCCCAGGGGACCTGGCACCCAGGGGATGTGGCACCCAGGGGACCCGGCACCCAGAGGACCTGGCGCCCAGAGGACCCAGCACCCAGGGGACCTGGCGCCCAGCAGGTAGAGCATCGAGAGGACCCGGCACCCAGGGGACCCAGCACCCAGAGGATGTGGCACCCAGGGGACCCGGCACCCAGAGGACCTGGCGCCCAGGGGATCCAGCACCCAGAGGATGTGGCACCCAGGGGACCCGGCACCCAGAGGACCTGGCGCCCAGAGGACCCAGCACCCAGAGGATGTGGCACCCAGGGGACCTGGCACCCAGAGGACCCAGCACCCAGGGGATGTGGCACCCAGGGGACCCAGAGGAATGAGAGAGGACCTGGCACCCAGAGGACCTGGCGCCCAGAGGACCCAGCACCCAGAGGATGTGGCACCCAGGGGACCCACAGGACCCAGGGGATACAGCACCCAGAGAATCCACGACCCAGAGGATGTGACACCCAGGGGACCCAGCACCTAGAGGACCTGGCACCCAGGGGATTTGTCACCCCAAGGACCAGAGGACCTAGCAACCAGGGGACCCAATGCCTAGAGGACCCAGCACCCAGAGGACCCAGCACCCAGAGGATGTGGCACCCAGGAGACCCAGAGGACCCAGCACCCGGGGGACCTGGCACCCAGAGGATACTGTACCCAGCAAATGTGGCACCCAGGGCACCCAGCACCTAGAGGACCTGGCACCCAGGGGACCCACAGCACCCAGCACCCAGGGGACCCAGTGCCTGGAAGACCCATCACCCAGAGGATGTGACACCCAGAGGAACTGGAGGACATGGCACCCAGAGGACCTGGCACCCAGGGGACCCACCACGCCGAGGATGTGGCACCCAGGGGGCCCAGAGGAACTGGCACCCAGGGGATCCAGCACCCAGAGGACCAGGTACCCAGGGGACCCAGCACCCAGAGGACCTGGCACCCAGGGGATCCAGCACCCAGAGGATTTGGCACCCCAGGGAGCAAAGGAGCCAGTACCTGGAGAACCTGGCACCCAGGGGATCCAGCACCCAGAGGACCTGGCACCCAGGGGATCCAGCACCCAGAGGACCAGGTACCCAGGGGATCCAGCACCCAGAGGACCAGGCACCCAGGGGATCCAGCACCCAGAGGACCAGGTACCCAGGGGATCCAGCACCCAGAGGACCAGGTACCCAGGGGATCCAGCACCCAGAGGACCTGGCACCCAGGGGATCCAGCACCTGGAGGACCTGCTACCCAGAGGACCTAGCACCCTAGGGACTCAGCACCCAGGGGTCCCCTCCCCACCCACCGCTCACCTGCGCCGTCATCCCGCACCAGAAGTTGGAGTAGGCGGCGCGCGAGTCCAGCATGGGTGCCACCACCGTCCTGTTCTCCGCCATCAGCAGCCCCAGCGTGTCGGGGTTCGTCAGGACATTGTCGGCGTCCAGGAACTGCCCGACAGCACCCAGACACCATCAGGACCCCCCCCCCCCAAAATCCAGCAGCCGTGGGGTCCCCCCGCTCCCAGTGCCGGGACACCCCCCCCCCCCCAGTACCAGCAGGTAATCGGCCCAACTGGCGCGAGCGGAGTCCAGCGCCGCCTGACGCAGCTTCATCACGTGCTCGTAGCGGGAGGGGGACCAGTGCTTGGGGCCCTCCTCGTCGGGGTACGATCTGGGGGGGGGACGGGGATGTCACCCTGGGGTGTCCCCCCAACCTCACCCGAGACCGGCACCCACAGCCCACGGGGTTCCTCTTGAACACGGGGATCCCTCCCCAAACCTGGGCACTCACCGGGCAGACAGCTTAGAGTGCGGCCCCACAGCCCAGGGGGGGGATTCCCCTCCCAAATTTGGGGACTCGCAGCTCATGGGGACCCCCGAATCTGAGCGCCCCCAACCTACAGGCACCCCCAAACCTGAGCACCCACAGCTCATGGCGACCTCCCCAAACCTGAGCGCCCCCAACCCATAGGCACCCCCAAATCTGAGCACCCCCAGTCCCTGAGGACCCACCCCCAAACCTGGGCACCCCTAAGCCATAGGCACTCCTAAATCTGAGCACCCACAGCCCATAGGGATCCCCCCAAAACTAGGCACCCTCAGCCCATAGGCACCCCCAAACCTGGGCACCCATAGCCCATAGGGACCCCCCCAAACTTGGAAGCCTGCCACCCATGGGGACCCCCAAATCTGAGCACCCCCAGCCCACAGGCACCCCTAAATCTGAGCAGCCACAGTCCACAGGAACCCCCCAAGCTTGGGGACCCCCAGCCCACAGGGACCCCCAAACCTGGGCACCCACAGCCCATGGGCACCCCCCCCACACTTGGGAGCCTGCAGCCCACGGGGACCCCCAAATCTGAGCACCCACAGCCTGTGGAGACCCCCCCAAAAAATGGGCACCCACAGCCCATGCGGCTTCCCCCCCTCCCCCTTCCCCTCCCTCGGTTCCGAGCCCCCCCCCAAAAACCTCAGACCTCCCCCTCCCCCACACACCCCACGGGTGACCCCCCCGCTCCCCTCCGCCCCTCCCACTCACCGCGGCTCCTCCATGGGCCGCCACTCCACGCGGTGGTAGAGCCCACGCACCCGCACCAGCCACTCCCGCAGCAGCGCCGTCGTGTTGTCCACGCTGTGATCCACCGCCACCCTGCGTGGGGACCGGACACGCGACCCCGCCCCCATCAGTCCCATGAGGGTCCCCCTCCCCCCCTCCGCGTATCTCCCCCCCCCCCCCCCCCCGGCCCCACGCGTGTCCCGCCCACCAGAGCGCCGTCCGCTCCTTGGGGTGCCGCAGCCGCTCCAGCGCCCCCAGCGTGGCGGGCAGCGCGTGGGCCGCGTTCCGCGCCAGCAGCGCCACCGTCACGCGTGGAGCCATCAGCGGCGACTCCGGGCTCCAGCGTTCCTCGGGGAAATACCCGCCCGCCGGCCGCGGCCCCGCCGCCAGCGCCAGCACCAGCCACGGCCACGGCCACGGCCACGGCCACGGCCACTGCCCCGCCGCCATCCTGGGCCGCCCGCGGCTCCGACACGCCCCCTCCCAAGCCACGCCCCCCCGCCGAGCCACGCCCCACCACCAAACCACGCCCCTACGCCCCTCTATGGCACGGACCCCGCTGTGGTCACGCCCCCCCACGAACCACGCCCCCCGAAACCACGCCCCTAGCCCCTTCTATAGCCGGGACGCCGCTGTGGTCACCCCCCCCCACCGTGCGGCCACGCCCCCCGACCAGACCGTGCCCCCACCCAGCCATGGCGGGGGCCCCGCCGTGGCCACGCCCCCTTCAGCCCCCACCCCCCCCCGCCCCAGCGCCCTCTCCCTCCTCTTCCTCTGCCCCCGGCTCCCTCCTCTTCCTCTCCCCCCGCCCTTCATTCCAGCTCCTCCCCCCCATCTCCGGCCCCCCCCCTCCCAGTCTCTGTCCCCCCCTTCCATCTCCCCCTCCCTCCCCCCCCCCCCCCAACCTCCTCTTGCCCCCCATCTCCCCCTCCCCTCCCTCTCCCTCCTCCCCCCCGTTTCTGCCTCCATCTCCCCCCATCTCTGTCCCCCCATCTCTCCCCCCATTTCCCTCTCCCCCCCCCCCCTTCTGTCCCCCCCATTTCTCTCCCCCCCCCCAAGCACACTCCACACACAAATCGCCCATTTCCAATTGCTCTGTTCTTCACTGGGCCCACTGGGATCCCCCCCAGCCCCCTGCCTGCCCCCCTGTCCTGGGGGGGGGGGTCACAGGAGGGGGGGGGTGACACAACCCGGATGGGGGGGGAGAAATGTCACAGCTGGGGGTGTGTCACAGCCCGGGGGGGGTCACAGCCCGGGGGGGGGTCACAGCTGGGGGGTGGTGACACCGGCGGCTCCTCAGCCCATCTCCTCATAGAGCAGCTCCTCGGCGCTGGGGGCGGAGAGGTTGGGGCTGGGGGGGCCCGAGGCCTCGGCCAGCGCTGAAAGGCAACAGCGGGTCACCCCCAGCCCCGCTTTTTACCACCATTTCACAGCCCCGTATTTTTTACCTTCCGACTTCTACTTTCAGCCACAACTGTCAAGTGAAATTCTCACACCGCGACTTCCCAGCCGAGGCCCCGACCCCAGCTCCGCCGGCTTTCGCCCCGATTTCACGCTCGGCCGATGGAAAACCACGAGAAATCCCGGGGTCACCCCTGGGTGTCCCCCCCCCCATCCGCCTCCCAAGGGCGTTAAACTGCCAGCGGCCGCGCAGCCCCCGCTCCCCAGGAAAGCCCCGCCACTCGGCGCTGCCCGCCCGTGACATCACGCCTGGAAAACGAGAGGATTCTTCCCCCGGCTTTGGCCAGCGAGAGGTTGAGAAGTTCCAGCCAGTGGGGAGGGAAAGAAAACTGGCAGGAAGAAAATAAGTCAGCTTTGGGCTTCTGGAACGCGCCGAGGGCAACATCTGGAAAGAAACTTGAGTGTACGAACATGGAAAGCGCTGTTTAACGGCTTGGGAAAAAAAAAAAACCCAAACCAAAACAAAAAACCAGCAGCGACGCCGGCGACTGCAAATATTTGGAGAGGGGCTGTTCCAGCCCGCGGCCCGCAGCCCCCTCACCTCTGCCGACCGCCCGCAGCAGCACGGCCCGGACCGTTTCTTCGTAAATATTTTCCAGGTTGACGATGCCGCTGAAGTCGGCGAAGACGAAGCTCTCGTACTGCGGCAGCTCCTGCCCCGGGGAGGGGAGAGAGGGGCAGCGTCAGCGCTGCCAGCGAGCCGGGGGGGGGGGGGCTGGTGGGAATTGGGTGAAGCTCCCCAAAAATCGGGCAGAGCAAGAGGGGAGCCTGCAGCCCCAAACCCACCCCCCCGGGACTCGCTGCGGAGGGACTCGGTCCAGCCGGCGCGCTGGCACGGCCAAGGGGAAGACACACCAAAAAAAAAAAAAAGGAATAAAATAAAAATAAAAGGAGAATGTTCTGGGAAATGGCTAAAGGACGGTCACGCCCTCGGCGGCACGAAACAGAACATGACTTATGTCTGCTTGGAGGAGATTTTCGGGATGCCGTCGCGCAGCGGGCTGCGGTTTGGCAGCCTGCGCCGCCTGAGAATGAATTCAAAGCTCTTTTCTGCGGAGAGACGGTGCCCGAGCGCCGGGATGCTGGCGAGGGGGGAAGGTTGCGCCGAGGGAAGGAGTTTCTCTTTCTTGCTGAACTAAAAACCCCTTGTTTGAGCCCGTTTCCCCACAGACAGGGCCCCCCCCGAGCCCCTCGCAGGCTCCCCCGTACCGGTTTACACCCGGACTCCAACTGCTTCAGCAGGAAAGGAAGGAAAATTCGGACCAGCCACTCCTGGGCGAAGCGCTGCCGGCCGGAGCTGCTGTCGTAGTCGAATTTCTGCGATTTGAATTCAAAGTGGGGTCAGGCCCTGTGGCACCGACCTCGCGGCACGAGCGCGGCACCGAAAACGCCGGGAAAGGCGGCGAAGCGATCCAACGGCGAAAAAAACAAACTGAAAAAAGGTTTAAAAAAAAAAAACCCCAAAGCGCATCTCACTAAAGCCATCGGAGGAAAAGGAGAGAGCCCCGCGCCTCACCTTCAGCACCCGCTCCTTGACTTTCCCCAGGGCTTGGGCGAGGTGGTGGCGGGAGGCCGCCCGGCCGAGGTGCTGCTGCGCGAGCTGCTGGAAGGTGTGGGTGCAGTTCTGCATCAGCTGCAAGAGGAAAACCGGAAAAAAAAAAAAAAAAAAAAAAAAAAAAGAAAGGAAAAAACCCCACAAAAATAACCCTCGCTGAGCCCCGATTTCACTCCACATCTCGCCCCCCGCTGTGGGTGTTTTCCCTCCTCAATTCGCCGCCTTGTTGGTTTTAAACTACGGGAAAAATATATCGTCTCCTCAGAGCTTCGCTTGGGGCTTTTGGGGCGGCCCAAGGAGAAAAACCGAGCGCCAGGCAGTGGCACCAACCCCCCCCAAAACTCCCCCCGCCCCCCCGGCCTCACCACGGACCTGCTGCATGAGGTCCTGGGCGCTGAGCACCAGGCTGGTCCCGCCGCGGAAGCCAAAGCGCTCCTCCAGCCCTCGCAGGGTATCGCGATAGAGATCGGCCTCGGCGTAGCAGGGCTGCAGGGCGCCGGGCTGCCAGGACGCTGCCGCCAGCCGCAGAAGCTACGGCAGAGCAGCGGTGGGTCACCCGGGGGGGGCAGAGCAGCGGTGGGTCACCCGGGGGGGCAGAGCAGCGGTGGGTCACCCGGGGGGGGCAGAGCACAGTGGTGGGTCACCCGGGGGGGGGCAGAGCAGTGGTGGGTCACCCGGGGGGGGCAGAGCAGTGGTGGGTCACCCGGGGGGGGCAGAGCAGCGGTGGGTCACCCGGGGGGGGGCAGAGCAGCAGTGGGTCACCCGGGGGGGCAGAGCAGCGGTGGGTCACCCGGGGGGGGGGCAGAGCACAGTGGTGGGTCACCCGGGGGGGGCAGAGCAGCGGTGGGTCACCCGGGGGGGGCAGAGCAGCGGTGGGTCACCCGGGGGGGGCAGAGCACAGTGGTGGGTCACCCGGGGGGGGCAGAGCAGCGGTGGGTCACCCGGGGGGGCAGAGCACAGTGGTGGGTCACCCGGGGGGGGCAGAGCAGCGGTGGGTCACCCGGGGGGGCAGAGCACAGTGGTGGGTCACCCGGGGGGGGGGGCCAGAGCAGCGGTGGGTCACCCGGGGGGGGGGCAGAGCAGCGGTGGGTCACCCGGGGGGGGCAGAGCAGCGGTGGGTCACCCGGGGGGGGGGCAGAGCCCCCCCACTGCCCTTGGCGCCGTCCGCTCCCCCGGTGTAAAACTCAACCCCGCACAAAACTCAACCCCCAGCGTAAAACCTCAAACCCCCCCCCCATAATACCCAACCCTGCATAAAACAACTCAACTCTGTGTAAAACTCAAACTCAACCCCACACAAAACTCAACCCCACGTAAAACTCAACCCCATGTAAAACTTAACCCCATGTAAAACCCCGCGTAAAACTCAACCCCACATAAAACTCAACCCCACATAAAACTCAACCCCACATAAAACTCAACCCTGCATAAAACTCAACCCCGCGTAAAACTCAACCCCGTGTAAAACTCAACCCAATGTAAAGCCCTGCATAAAACTCAACCCCATGTAAAACCCCGCATAAAACTCAACCCCACCTAAAACTCAACCCCGTGTAAAACTCAACCCTGTGTAAAGCCCCACTTAAAACTCAACCCTGCATAAAACTCAACCTGCGTAAAACTCAACCCCATGTAAAACTCAACCCCACATAAAACTCAACCCCATGTAAAACTCAACCCCATGTAAAACCCTGCATCAAACTCAACCCCGTGTAAAACTCAACCCCATGTAAAACTCAACCCAATGTAAAGCCCTGCATCAAACTCAACCCAATGTAAAACCCTGCGTAAAACTCAACCCCACCTAAAACTCAACCCCACCTAAAACTCAACCCCACACAAAACTCAACCCCACGTAAAACTCAACCCCGCATAAAACTCAACCCCACCTAAAACTCAACCCAATGTAAAGCCCACCTAAAACTCAACCCCACCTAAAACTCAGCCCCGCGTAAAACTCAACCCCCCGGGGCCCCTCCCGCCGGGATTCGCCCCGGGCTCTGCCCGTCAGCGGCCTCGGGCGGCCCCGCTCACCTCCCGCCGCAGGACGGCGCCGGGCGAGCTCCGGGCCACGCCGATCACCTCGTCGACCCTCCGGGCGAAAAGCGAGCGAAGGGCCTCGGCTCCCGCCCCGAGGGGCCGCGCCAGCTGCTCCAGCACGCAGCCCAGCAGCGGCTCCACGCCGCGGGCGCAGCACGACTCCGCCGGGCTCCGCACCGCCGCTGCCCGCCGCGACAAGCCGACGGGTCACGCCGGGCGGGAAGGGCCACCGAGCGCCGCCGCCCCCCGGACTGCGCCCAAACCCGCCGCAGCCCTTCCCCCGCCCAAGCCAGCTGGAGACATTTCATGGATTTGCCCGGCTTGGGGCTTTTTTCAACCTCTATTTTTTGCCTTATTTTATCCGTCGGCCCAACCTTGGAGTTTGCTGGCTAGCTGCTCCTTCAGCGTCAGCAGCTGATCCAGGTCGGGGCGGATTTTCTTCTCCAGCTCAACCCGTAGCTTTTCCTTCTCCTCCTGAAAACTTTTGAGTTCGCTGGAGATTTCGCCGAGGACCAGGGTGTAAACCTCCTGGAGGAACTGGGCGGCCGACAAGCAGCGGGCGAACCAGGGAGACAACAAATAAAGGAGACGGAAGAGGCGCCGATTTTGGAAACGTGGCCAGTCCCTGGGCTCCCCCGCCCCCCAAAAACCCACCTCGCCAGCCGCGTCGCACCCCTAAAATTCTGCAACTCGCCCAGCCTCGTTCCTCCCAACCCAAACACCACGTAATTCATTCCTCCCTCTCCGTTACAGCCGTCCCCTCGCCGCCGCCCCGCGGCACCAGCAGCGCTCTCCGTTTTTCACGACTGGCTGTTAAATCCAGCGCTCCGCCGAGCTGCGGAACCGGCCTGTGCCGTCAAATCGTTCTCGAGCTGAGAAGTTCACACCCGAGGCCCCGCGACACCCGGGGCGCGACACCCCGGGACCTCACCCGGAGCCAGAGCTGCCGCCGCCTCCTCTCCGCCCCTCCGATGCCGGGCAGCACCCGGGAGCGCAGCACCGGCAGCAAATCCTCCATCAACACGTTCCCGAGGATCTAAAACCCAAAACGAGCGGCCGAAATCACCTCGGAGCGGCGGCCTCGCCGGAGAGGCTCCGCTCTCGGAGGCTCCACCGACCTCAGGTTCCGTCCCCAGGAGAAGATCCTCCGCTCCGTAGCGGCCTCTCTCCTGCCTGTAAAACCGCACCGCCTCGAGGAACGCCTCGGCCTCCAGAGAATCCGCCCTCTGTAATTCTGAGAAAAAAAAAAAAAAAAAAAGGGCGAGTTAATCCCGGTGATGCTTAAACCCACTCCCGAGCGATTCCCGCGCGAAGGCGCCGCCGCCAAACCATCCCGAGCGAGGGGGACGGCGCCGAGCCCCCGCTCGCGCCCCTGGCAACGCCCCCGAGGGCAAGAAGCTCGCCCCCTCACCCGTGCTGCCGGCGCGGACGGCGTCCCCGAGAGCCGCCCTCCAGGTCGGCCGCGAGCCCGCGCGGAAGCAGAAGTGCCGCCGGAAAGGGTGGTAGAGGAAAAGCAACGACTCTCCTGGCGCGTCGGCGAAGGGGCTGCCACCTCGGGGAGGAGGAAGATGCGCGACGGAGGCTGGCGCAGGCACGGCTGGATGCCCGTTCCCCGCGAGCTCCCCGCGCCCTGCGGCTGGCGTTCGGCTTTTTATTCACAGAGAAAATAACCCGCCCTCCTTCCCGAACGGGCCGGGGCCGGCCGTGTCGTTAGAAAACGAGGGGGGATCGTGTCGGCCGCCGAGCCGGGGAAACCCCAAAGGGACGGGATTGTCGTTTATTTTTAGCGTTACTGGACGCAACAAATCGGGGGTTGGGTGCAGCAAGAACCGTTCGGAGAGCAGGAGCACAAACGCTTCGCTCCGAGAGCAAACTGGCAAAGCCTCCCTTCCCTTTTAACCAGCATCTGCAGCAGACTGGAAAGATCCCAATCCACTGTTTATTCTGAACGGAGCCGTCCATAGGTTAAAAAGCCCCGGTAGTGTTCAACGGCTCGCGGCCGGCTCTAAACTCTTTCCCAGGGGGCAGCTCTAACAACAGCCAGAGGGCCGCGCGCCCGGGAGCTCAGCAGAGGAAAACCGCTTGAAACGAATTTCAGGCGCTGGCGAAGCTTCCCGGCAGCTGCTGCCGGTTCCGTGCCACCCGCGTCCAAACTCCCCGCTCCCCAGCTGGCCGCGCCGGGGCGCAGAGCTGCCTGCCAGGGCCGAGGCCAGCGGCCGCCCGAAAAAAACAAGGAAAACAGGGGATTGAGCTGCACGAGGGCCCCGAAACGCCAAGTTCAGGTGACGCTGCGAGTTCAGCTCCGGGCGTTGCCGTGAGGAAGCTTCTCGGGTGTTTTCTTGGCGCGCGGAGACACAACCCGCCCCGTGCGCTCCCCTCCTCCTCCGACCCGGCTCCCGCTCCCCGCCGCTCCCCGCGGCGCAGAATTACCCGCGAGCCCTTGGCACAGCTCGCCCAGCCGCTCGGCGTACTCGCCGGCCGACGACAGCAGCAGGTAGCCGGAGAGAGCGGTCGAGCCCCTGGGCTGGCAGCCGTTCCTCAGGGCCTGGGACAGAAAAAAAAAAAAGTCACAGGGCGGATCGTCAGCGCGAGGCTGCGCGGGCGATAACTGACGGTTCCCTCCGGCCGGCGACAGCGAGAGGGTTCGTTGCTCGCGGCGGCGTTTGCACCAGCCCCGGATCTCGGTACCGCTGCGGCGCAGCCACAACGAAACCAACAAAAAATCCAAGGCAAGGCGGGAGAAGCTGGGCGAATTTGAAAGGAAACGCACGTACGAAAGGAAATTAAGATATTATTGGCGCAGGGATTCTGCGGACGCGAAGCAGCCGGCTTTTACACGAGCGTGCTGGCAGCAAGGGATGCCCGGAGGGGATTTCATGGGCTGCGGCCACAAAAAATCCTCAATTTTAGGGTCTCTGCGGCGGTCGCTGCATGAGCACATTCACCTCTTCGCTTTCGAACCACCGCAGGGTAAAATCTCCGAGCAGGACAAAGTAATTCTCCTGCCAGCTGCGGGAATCGCCGTCGTACTGGGAGAGCAACCCGTGGTGCAGAGCGGCGTCGGGCGGCCCCCGGAGCTGTGGACACGTGAGAGAAGAGAAAAAAATGTCAGGGGAAAAACGAAAAAAAAGTGAGAAAAGAATCTCAGCAAAGGCACGAAGCGCGGCGAGGCCGGAGCGTCGCCTGGCCTGGGGCCCAGCCCGGCCCAGACACTTGGCTCCGAGCGGCGTGGGGATAACAGCGGGAGGCAGCTGGACACAGACATCTAGTGGTGATGAAAAGCAAAAGACAGAGCCAAAAAAAAAAAAACCAACCCCCCAAAACACGAAACCAAACTGTCGTGGCTCTTCACGGCGGCGCCATGAGGGTTTCAAGCAACCCCACCTCAACCCGCTCCGCAATATTTGACCCCGATGGCACAAAAGCTTTTCCGCCCGGCGCCGGGACGGGCTCTCACCTGGCTCGGCAGGAGCTGCGGGGCCGCTGCCCCCCGGGGCTCCAGCTCCCCCGAGACCCTGCGCAGGAGGGCGGCCGCCAGCTGCCTCCGATAATGGGGCACGAAACTCCTCACCGCGGCGTCGGCGCGACCTGCGGGGACAGAGCCGGGGTGGCGGCGGCCCCGCTCCCGGCGGGGGCAGCTCCCTGCTCTTAATTATTTGGTTTTTTTTTTGTTGTTGGCGTTTCCTCGCAGAGCGGCAGCGAGGCACCAGGCAGACCTCGCCCCGTCCCTCGAGAAATAAATCTTTGTTTCTTGAGTGTGTGGCTGGACCCCGCTCCCAAACCGCTTTATCGCCCCGGGGACGCTGCCAGGCGCCTGCTCAAAAAAGGGATCTGAAACGTCGGAGGGTTTGACAAGAATCAAAATTTTAAAAGTTTTTTTTTTTTTTTTTCTGGGCTGCTGCTGCTCCCAACGCCTCCCCCGCCGGCTGGAGAGGTGGGAACACCGGAGGAAACTCATCGCCAGCCGTTACGGAACCGCCGTGCCCTGCAAGCTCGGCGGAACCGGGTCATGAAGCCGCAGCCCCGGCGGCGCCCCAGAGCCCCAGCGCGGGGCTGGAGCCACGAGCTGACGCCCCGAGGACCAGGCGCCTCCCCGGGAGCCTTCGCCAGGGGCTCGGAGACCCGTTTCACACCCTGCGCCTGGGATTTCCCGTCCATAACCCGGCGGCGGAGGTCGATGGCGGGGCTCGCCGGGGCCGCGACGGGATTTATATTCCACCCCCCACCCCCCCAAAAAAAAAAAAAAAAAAAAGAAGGAAGGGAAGCAGCAGAAATCGTCTCTCACCTCTCAGGTACCTGCGCTGCCGCCCGGTCAGGGGGCTCGAGCACCTTCCCCCCATCTTCGGCCGCGGCGCTCGCCAGCCGCGCCACACGCCGCGGCTTCCCCCCCCCCCCCCCCGCAGCGCGTTGGGGTCTGGCTGCCCCACATCAGCTCATCGATAGTCAAATACCCCGTTATCAGCTCAGAAATATTCAAATAAAATCTCAGCTCACCCCCCCCCACCCCCGCCCCGCCGCACACACAAAATAAGCCTTAAAGGGGCAGCGGCGCCTCCGCGGCTTCCCACCCCGTCCCGCACCCCAAACCGGCCCCAATTTGGGGGGGTTTGATTTATTTTGGAGACCGGGTGGGTTCGTGCTCCGTCGTCGTGGCTCGCAGGAGCCGGCTTTCGCAGCGGGACGGCGCTTCGCTGGCCCAAACGGGCCCTTCCCATCCCCCAAACAACTGCTGGCGAGCGCTAATTGAGGCAGAACCGCCCGTTCAGGGGGCGGCGGGTTCGGGGGGGGCCGGGCGGGCGGGGGCGAAGGGGATTTTTCGGGGTTATTTCCGACGGTGCGAGCGCAGCGCGGAAGCGCCCGCGCCCAACGTCTGCTGCTTTTACCCCGACGCAACCGGCGGGTTTCGACACCCCCCCGCGCCCCGCGGGACGTAGAAACAGGAACCGCCGAGCAGAAACAGCGCTCGCAGCGAACCCCCGGGCCGGCCAGAGAGCCCGAATGTTTCTTACGAGAAGAAAATCGAGGGGGGGAGAGGTTAGAAAGAGCCGCGAAGCCGGACGGAAAAAGCTTTTGGCAGCGGCGGCTGCGCGACCGTTTCCCACCGCGCGGTTTCGGATCCCCCCAGCCCTGCCCACACCTGTAAATACCCACATCCAGCGCAAAAACCCCCAATTCCTGGTTTGTTTTTTTTTTTTTTTATCCCAGGTCTAGCAGGGAAGCGCTGCGTTAGGGCATAGAAGGTTTTTCTGACTCGGTTCTTCACCCGGCGCGGGGACACCGTCCCCCTTCCCGCTGCTGGGAGCTGAAATGGCCGCACGGCGCGGGGAGAAACCGGGCAGGAAGGCGCGGAAAAAATTACCAGGGGAAAACCTGAAAATGTATTTAATAACGCAGCGACCGGAACGAACCGCGGGGGAAATCCACGTTCGGCAAAGCAGCGTTTGGTCCAGAGAGATGGAAACACAAAAAAAAAAAAAAAAAAAAAAGGGGGGATAAACCCCCAGAATCCCGGCACGCTCCGCACGGCAGGGCCTCAGCGGCCGCGTCCCGCCGCCCCGCCGGGGTGTCTCTCCACCGGCCCCGTCAGCTCCTTGGCCGCCGCCTCGTCCAGGAGCCAGCGCAGCCGCCCCGAGCGCGGCCGCACGCGCGCCGCGGGGAGCGGATCCTCCTCGTCGCCTTCCAAAATTCGCTGTGGGGAGAGAGGGGGGCTGCTCAGCCGGGCCGGACGCCGCGGCGGCCGCCCGCAGCCGCTCCCTCCTTGAAAATGTTGGGGTTTTTTTGTTAAGAAAAACAACCAGTTTGGGTCCAAACCTTTAAAACGGTGGCTTTGTTCTCCCCCGTAGCCACGAAGACGACCGTCCGCGCGGCGTTCAGCACGGGCAGGGTCAGCGTCACCCGCTCCGCCGGCGGCTTCGGCGAGTCCGTGATGGCGGCGACTATCTTCTCCTTCTCCTGGCGAAGCGAAGGGAACGAAAGAAAAAAAAAAAAAGGTACAAAAAGGGAGAAAAACCAAACACACACAAAAACCCGCCCAAAGCACAGCGATGGCCGCGGGGGTTCGCAGCCCTTCCCCCTCTCCTTTTTCATTGCTCCTGCCCAAAGTTCCCCAAACCCGGAGAAATTAAACCACCCGGGGCCGGACCAACCCCACCAGCTTTTTGGTTTTTCTCCTCCCCCAACAGCTTTTTTTCTCGCCTCATTTTTACCCCTCAAACTACCACCCCCCCACACCTGAACCCGTCCCCGCTGTAAACACGGGGGGGGGGACACACGACACGTCGCGCCCCCCCACGGTCACGCGTGGGACCCACCTGGAGCAGGGCGTGGCCGGGGAAGAGTGAACACGTGTGTCCGTCCGGGCCCACCCCCAGCAGCAGCAAATCGAACTCGGGCACGGCCGGGCCCGGCAGCGCCTGCGGGGACACGGCGGGAGGGCGGGACACGAGCTCCCGTGGGGCCGGGACACGAGCTCCCGTGGGGCCAGGGGATGTGCTCCCGTGGAGCCGGGGGATGTGCTCCCGTGGGGCCCGGGGGATGTGCCCCCGTGGGGCCGGGGGGATGTGCTCCGTGGGGCCGGGGGGATGTGCTCCCGTGGGGCCGGGGGGATGTGCTCCGTGGGGCCGGGGGGATGTGCTCCCGTGGGATGTGCTCCCGTGGGGCCGGGGGGATGTGCTCCGTGGGGCCGGGACACGAGCTCCCATGGGGCCGGGGGGATGTGCTCCCGTGGGGCCGGGGGATGTGCTCCCGTGGGGCCGGGGGGATGTGCTCCCGTGGGGCCGGGGGGATGTGCTCCCGTGGGGCCGCAGATATGCTATGCCGTGGGGTGCGGATATGCTTGGCTGTGGGGCAGGACACGCTCTGCCGTGGGGTGGGAACGCGCTCCCGTGGGGGCCAGAGACACGCTCTTCCGTGGGGCAGGACACGATCTCCCGTGGGGGCTGAGGACACGCTCTGCCGTGGGGGCCGTGGGCACGTTCTTCTGTGGGGCCTGGGGAGGGGCGGGTGCGGGTCACGCTCTCCCGTGGGGGCCAGCGGACACGCTCCCCCGTGGGCCGGTACCTGGCGCAGCTGCGCGGCGTACTCCTCGGCGGCGGCGGCGGGCGGCAGCCCCGGGCGGGGGGCGAGCAGGAGCGGCCCCGGGGCGAGCAGCCGCGGCAGCAGCTGGGCCTGGGGCGAGCGGGGGGTGTCAGGGGGAGGCCCCGGGGCGGGGGGGGGGGTGTCGGGGGGCGGCCCCGGGGCGGGGGGGGGGGTGTCAGGGGGAGGCCCCGGGGCGGGGGGGGGGGTGTCAGGGGGCGGCCCCGGGGCGGGGGGGGGTGTCGGGGGGCGGCCCCGGGGCGGGGGGGGGGGTGTCGGGGGGCGGCCCCGGGGCGGCCCCGCTCACCTCGTAGGCCCCGGCGGTGCTGTCCGGGTGCTCCCGCGGCACCAACCGCTCGTCACAAACGGCGAGGAGCCACCGGGCCGGGCCGGCGGCGGCGGCGGCGGGGGGCAGGTCCCGGGCCAGCAGCCCCACCAGGCTCCCCCCGGACAGCCCCAGCGCGAACCGGGGCCCGGCCGCCGCCGCCCGCTCGGCCACCAGCCCCGCCAGCGCCGGGCCCAGCTCCCGCGGCGACGGGAACACCGACACGGCGGCGGCCATGGCGGCGGAAGTGACGCGCCGCAGGCGTTGCCTGGCAACCCGCGGCCTAGGCCTGCCCCGCCGAGCCGCGGCCTGGCGCAGGGCGGGAGGCGGGAGCGGGCCGACCCCCCCCCCGGGCAGCCGGGCCCGCACCTCCCTCCGCTCCCCGCGCGTCATTAACACGCCACCGAACCCAAGCGAGGTTAAAAATCGGCTAAATTGGTTAAGTCACGTTCAGCGAGGGAGCTGGGAAGCGCCCCCCGCCGCGCGGGGCACAGGTAGCTCCGTGAATAAATATCGCCATCGCCCCCCTCCCCGGGCGGGGAGCGGCTACAAAAATACTCTCTAAGGGGGGTTAATGCGCTCGGCGGGGGAACGGCGCGGGAATCCAGCGCCCGCCCGCCCGTTAGTCATCGGCTTCCTCAAAAAGGCCGAAGCCGCGCGGATCATAAAGCGGCTTTTCCGGCACAAATCCTTTCGTAAAGGCATTCGTCCAGAGGAACGTATCTTCCCAACTTGAGATCCAAAAAATACAAGCGATCCGAGGTTTGGTGGGGGTCGAACCCTTCCCTCTGTAAGCGGGTTTTCTGAATCTTAAATGTACCTTCAAAAAGAGAAAGGGGAAAAAAAAAAAAAAAAAAATTCAAAATACTTTGCAACACAAAGCTTGCTCAAGCGTCGGAGCGAGAAGGAAACATCACGAGTGGCATTTCGTCTCTAATTAATTCAGTTTTGCCTCAGGATTTGAGCAACTCGGAGCTCGTTAAGGGTCCCGAGCGCTCCCGGGGATCCTACAGCAACCTCGCGGCATTTTTACCTCTCCTGAGGCACGGGCTGGTGAAAGGACCCGGTAAAATTCCTGGGAAATCAAAAATTTCCAGAAAATGCAGCAGCTGAGTCGGCTGTTAAACCGCACCGGGAAAGGCAACGGTTCGTGCTCCTGTGTGGACAGGGGGGGCTTTGCTACGGGGCCTGGAACTGGCTGGTTTCTTGTTTTTAACTAAAAATCAGTGGGTTTTACTGGCGGTGCTTCTGCGCCCGCCGCGCTCCGAGCCGGGGAGTTTTTTCACCCCGGAGCGGGTGGAAACGCGTCCAGAGCTCCCCCGGGGATCCGAAGGGTCGCCGATACCTGTGGTGTCAACCTGGGGCAGGAGCCGGAGGAAGACGGGCCGGGCGTAGGGCGGCAGCACCTTCTGCAGCTCCTGGTACAGGACGTTGGGGTTGACTTTGGCCTTGGGGTCCGCGATCGCCGCCATCCCCGCCTTGCCCTCCACCCCTGCAACGAAGAGCAGAAGCCATGGGGGGGGGACACACGTTGGGCAGGCGCCGGCGTTTCCTCCCCGCGGCGAAGGTGCTGAGGAAAATCCAGTTCAATCCCAGAGGCTCCCAGCCCGCTGCCGCTGCGGCCCCTCAACTCGTCCAAATCCTTTTTTTTTCTGCGTCTCCTCAGCCCCCCGCGCCCCGGTCCTGCGCACCCAGGAGCTGCCGCAAGGCTCAGACAAACCTTCCCTTTATCAGCCACGAATACAGATCCCGCCGCCGGCTCGCCGGTCGTTTCTGCGGCTCGGAACCAAAGCGGCAAACTCCGCTGTGGGGCTCTGTCCTAGCTTTTCATTTCTGGGTGCCTCTGCAGGCGGCCGATTTCCGACACCGAGCCGGTAACCTTTCCCTAAACCCTGAGAGCTCCGACGCGGCGTTTTACCTGGTACTTCCACCCCGTACACCGCAACGTCCGTCTGGTTGAGGATGTGACTCAACGTTCCTTCCACCTCGGTGGTAGAGACGTTCTCTCCTCGCCAGCGGAAGGTGTCCCCGCTCCGGTCTTTGAAGTACATGTACCCGAGCTCGTCCATCACCAGCACATCTCCTGGGCGGGGGAGACACCGAAACCCACCTCGGCACTCGCCTGCTGAGCGCGCGGGGTGCCTGAAATCCCCCTGCTCGCTGTCCCGCTCTTCTGCGCGAAAAAAAAAAAACCTCTCCCTCTCTGAAATGTTAATTTTTTTTACTAAAACCAGAGCGGCTCAGGAGCTGCCAACTTCAAAACACTTAACGCCTCTGCTCCTAGAATCAAACGGGTTGGAAAAGACCTTTAAAATCGCACCGACTCCTCGTAAAAAAAATTCCCAGATTTAGGCTTTTCGAGGCCACCTTTGCAGGAAGAACGTCCGCAACCCGCGCCGACGGTACCTGAGAGGTACGCCTGGTCCCCCTTCCGCAGCACGTTGTAAGCGATCTTCTTGGTGGTGGCGCTCTCGCTGACGTAGCCGTCGAAGCGGCGCAGGGGGTCCTGCTGGTTGATCTGACCGACGAGCAGCCCCGGCTCTCCTGCGGGAAACGGGGTCAACGCAAGGTGACGCGGGCGCCTCACGACAAGCCAAACGTCGGGCGCAGGGAGAGATGTTCAGCTGCTGGACTGATCCATCTCAGAAGGACAGAACTGGAAGCGAAAGCCCGTACGCGACACTAAAAACCCCTTAAATCAGCCAGAGCTTATTATTTTTTTTTATTTTTTTTTAAAAGCAAACCACTGCCGTTGGTTTGTCAAGGCTCACCTGGGCGGCAGGGGATACACAGCCCCCCGGAATCCCGGATCAGCTCCATCGTGTCCTCGTTGACCTTCACCAAGCGAATGGGATACACGTTGGGCAAAATCCGACTGTTGAAGCCGCAGGCACCGACCTTCCAAAAGACAGGAAAAAAAAAAAACAAACAAAAAAAACAACCAAACAAACAAAAAACCCCCAAAAGGCTGAAGGGAACAGCTTGGGTTTTGCGTTACCGCTTCCTCTAATCTTTCCCCCCTTCCCATTTAACAGGGAAACAGAAGATTTTTTCCCAAGTTTTTCGCACGTGCCACCCCCAGTGACCAGTTTTGCTCCCGGCCGTCCCCCGCAGGAGGACGGGGAGGGCGCAGAGAAGCCGGCAGAGCTTTTTTTTCCTCCTTTTTGGGCGGCCCTCCCGGCCGCCGCGGGCTCTCGCCCTCCTCACCTTCCCGTCCAGGTTGGCGACGCTGCAGTTGCACTCCGTGGCCCCATAGAACTCCCCGATCTGCTTAATTCGGAAGCGCTTTGTGAACTCCTCCCATATGGTGGGTCTCAAACCATTGCCCACCGCCAGCCGCACGCAGTGGTGGCTTTCTGACTCTCGGACCGGCTGATTCAGAAGATACCTGCAGATTTCCCCGATATACTGAATAATCTGAAGCAGTAAACACAAAAACACAGCTCAGGCTTCGGGCGGCCCTTACAGCGCCCTGGAAAAAGCCGCCCACGAGGCCACAGGCGTCGGCGAACCTCGTGGAACTCGACACGTCGGGCATTTTAACAAACCGCGCGCGGTCGCAAGTTCAAGCTGGGGTTTCTTGGCACGAAAAAATAGGCAAAACTAAAAGTTAGAGCACGGGAGGGACCCCTCAGTGTGAAGAAAGATAAAGAAAAACCCTCGTGCTTTAATGGGGGCACTGAAAGACCTCTAGAAAGACGAGGGGAACGAGTGATTGATCGTAAACTAACAGCTTGGCCCGGAGTGAAGATCCAATTACCAGCTATAAATACTGCTGCTGGGGGAAGGGCAAGACAAACACCCGGGAGGGGAAGGAGCTGCTGAAATTAGAAGGTAACGTTGACACAAACGCAACTAGATGCTTATTGGCCACGAACTGGCACGAGAATTCCTCCCCGGAGATTCCCAGCGCGGATAAATCCTGGCAGAGCTTTGCTGCGACAGTGAGGGACGCAAGGTGGTGTTCCAAAAGCCGGACTCGACGAGCGCGCGAAGAGGAAGCGGGAGATGGACGAGAGACCTTTCCTCAAGTCCCGCGTGCCTAAAGCGGCACCGGCGCTTCGAAGGCGCCGCGGCGCAGGCACCCCGACCCCCGCCACGGGCCGGGCAATTAGCGGGGCCAGCGATAACGAAGCGGTGAACCCGGCGTAAAGGCAGCGGCCGGCAGAGCCCTCACCGTGCATCTGTACTTCGTGCAGTCGTCCCAGAAGCGACTGGCCGAGAACTTCCTCCTGATCACCACGGTGAGGCCGTGGATTAGGCACTGCCCCACTCCCATGATGTTACCTGGAAAACGGGGACCCCGGGGGTGGCTCCGGCCGGCCGGGGAGCGTTCGCTCACACGGCCACGCCAGGGAGCGGGCGGGGGGAGGCCAACGCCTGGCCGGGGAGGAGGAGGAGGAGGAGGAGGAGAAAGAGGAAGGGGAGGAGGAGACTCACCTGCGGAATGGTAGAGGGGGAGGCAGTTGTAGAGGACGTCCTCCGGCCGCATTTTGTAGGCGTAGTAACCAAAGGCAGCGATGCGGTAATACCTGCAAGGACGCGGCGCGCGCCGAGCGAGCGGGACGGGTGACGCTCGGGGTTTCGCGACGCCAAAGGCGCCTCGGGAGGGGAGAGCCCCCCGCGTCCTCACCTGCTGTGCACCACGATGGCAGCCTTGGGCATTCCCGTGGTTCCCGACGTGTAGATATAGAAGAGCCGGTCTGGAAGGGGAAGAGGCGTCAGACAGACTGTTCTCAACCGCCCCAGGAAATCCCCACGGGGTTCGGTTCCCGTTTCGGGGTTCGGTCGCGTTGGAGCGGCCGTGAAACGGGGAGAGCGAAGAGAGTCCGCGCGTCGTCCCCCCCAGCCGACCCGGGAACGAAGGGTTGGCAGAGCCCTGGGGACACGACCTGTCCACACGTGTGCAAGTTGTCCCGGGACTAGACTGGCTCTCCAGGTCAGGCACTAATTCCGAACCCATCGAGAAGAAAGGTGTGCCTGACACTAGGGCAGGTATCTAACTCTGCGATTTAAAAATGTAATTTAAAGGAAAAAACCTCTTAACAGCATCATTCCTCCTGCTGTAAACAAAGTACCAAAGTGGAGTCTCAGGGATCTCTGATGCTCTTAATTGTCTAAAGGACGAAATGCAGCCTGGAGGCCAGTCAGCGTCGCCCTCTCCCGAGTCCCCACCCCACCCAGAGGCGAGGAGAGGTTTTATTTATAGAGGAGTGAGCTGTGGGGAGAGTGACAGGGGCTGTTGAACCCCCAGATCTGCAGGGCCAGCGACGCTCGGGGCCGGTCCCGGCCCACCGGCCGCTTCCCACCCGCGGGAGGGGTGTCCTTGGGGAGGCACCCAGCTCCCTCCCTCGGGTGCCAAAAGTCACCTAAAGCTTGGGAGTCTCAGGCAGTGAGAAACTTAACCCAGAGCACCCTGCAACCAGGATTTTTTTTTTTTTTTTTTTCCTCCTTTCTTCTATTTGTGAGCCCAAACCAGGTTGATTTAATCCCTCCATCTTGCTTAGTTTCCTTGTTTCACTGTCACGTAGCCCAGCTCCCACACACGTCACGTGGAGAAGTAGAAATCGTCGCTAAAATCACCATCCAAGCCTTTGACTGGAATCTGAGTCGGGGGTGACCTCGAGGCGGCGCTCAGGAGAGGATCGAGGTGCCTGGCCTCCGCAGGAACGACACCCGGGCTGTAGTCACCGGAGCAGAATTTGACCATGTTCTTCCCCAACATCCCGTTCACTTCGGATATTGCTGCAAGACAACGCGAGGCGCTTGTGCAACAAACATAACGCTCTAGGCGCCGGCAAAAATAACCCGTGTGACATCTTATCGTGCCCCAAAACCGGAGAGGGACCTGGAGGACTGGGGACTCTTTTGCGATAGTTACGTCACACCCGTCCAGACGACGTCCGCATCGGTGCGGTCGGACCGACCCGCGCCCAGTAAAGGCCCTACCAAAAAAATAACCCGTGGAATTTCCTCTCCCCCGTGCCCACACCATGATCTTCGGATGGTCTCGAATGGTTCCGAGGAGATGATTCGGAATAAAAAACCGCCAGACCTGGCAGTGACCATCGGAGGAGTTCCTCAGAGAAGCCGGGCTGCATTTAAAAACGACATCCACCGAGAAACTTACCCGGTGGCAGAAAGCGCGCCATGAGGCAAAGAGTGTCAACACAAAAAAAAAAAAAGAGAAAAACGGGCCTCGCGGCAGAAAGCCACGCCACTTCTCGGGGAAGCAGGAGGCTCCCGACGCAGCTCTGCCAGATCTGACAGGAGCAAACCAGCGAGCTGAGTGGGGCGCCAGGAAATCGGGGAGGTGCCGGCGGATGAAACCGAGCTCCCCACCGCTCCGCTCCAGGCGCCGCGCTCCGCCTCCGGCGCTCACAGAGCGCTTCAGCCTTTTGCAACCAGATTTACCCCCTCCCCTGGCTTTTCATTCGGCCAGCGGCCTTTCTGGTCTCCCTTGGCTCGATCGCTGCCTCATCCAGGAGCGGCTAAGGCGCGCGGACACCCGAGGGTCTCACCTGCTGACAGCTCCCCTCCGAAGATCACGGCTTTCGCCCCCGAAGTCGTCACGCAGTAAACCAGAGAATCCAAGCGCAGATTGAAGTTGATCAGAGCCGCCTCGATGCCGATTTTTGCCATCCCCAGCCAGAGGCCGACGAATTCAGGGCGGCTCTCCATGAAGATCGCAATGACGTCCCCCAGGCGGAAACCTTGCTGGTAGAAGTAGTTAGCCACGGCGTTGGAGTACTCATCCAGCCTCCTGAAGGTCCACTGCTCGCCGGTGGCTTCGTAAATCAGGGCCACTTTCTCGGGGTGCCTGCGGACCACGTCCTGGAACATCTTGGGGACGGTGCTTTTGGCTTTTTGGTGCCTTCGCAAATTGTACTTGACTCGTAACAGCACCAAGAGGCCGCTGCAGCAAAGAAAGAGCACGACAACTTCATTTCCAGCAGAATTTCTGAACTGGGAGGGATGCGGGCAGGACGCGCGTAACCCGCACGAGCGTCCCACCGGCAGCCCGCTGTCGCGTTCCCCTGCAACTGGGGTTTTTATTCAGTGCTGCTCTACGGAAGATGACAACTGTTTTACACAATCGGGCAAGTAAAGAGCGTGCAGCCGCTGGTCTGGTACTTGCCACGCTATAAGACACAGAGAATCCATCTTCACAGCGATACAGATTCAAACAAGCCCACTGGAAATATTAAAGAGGGTAAATTACATTTTTTAATGGAGCCTACCACCCTATTAAAAAAAAAAAAAAAAAAAAAGGACTTGGCAACCGTTGCTTTCACCTAGAAACGAAGCAAACGTACTTCACACGAGGAGCGTTTCTCGCCAGGACAGTTTGCAGCGTCTTCGGGCTATTTTGTGCAGTTTGACCCCCCAGGATCCCAAAGTCTTTAAGCGACAAAGACAGCCTGACCCTTTGAAAACAACACGTGGCCTCAGCTTCAAAAAAACGAAGCCAAAGGCTTCCCCTTTCACCCACAAAACGGGAGAACCGCCGGCGCGTCGCTCGCAGGCGCGTTTTCCTGTGAGGCAGTGTCGGGCGCAGTCCGGGGACGACAGGAAGCGAGGCTGGCTAATTACTGCCAGGCAGAAGCGTTAGATTTTAATAAGAATAGTTCTTGGATGGCAAGCTCCTTCAGAGGTGGTGGGGCCTTATCAAGAAAAGAACTGCTGCCTCTGTGGATATGTGATACCGCAAAGAGCAACTGCTCGATAGAAACGAACCAGTCTGCTCTCATGGGGCTTTTTTTTTTTTTTTTCCTTCTTCAGTAATTTACATAATCGTTTTAAGTCTCCAAGGCAGCAGCTGCGAGTCAAACCTCGACGCGGCTGAAGCCGGATGGCAGCAGAAGTTGTTGTCTGAACTTCAACTGTCTCATGATGCCCTGGAAGAAGCTATCTTTAGGGGCGCGCTGGCTCCCTGGCTTTGGCGACCGGTGCTAATTTATTAAAGCACGCTGCGGCAGCGCTGCCACCAAAACGAGGGCGGCAGGTCTGGGTGAACGTCACGGATCTCGTTTCCTGCCCGGAGGGAGGGAGATGGAGGCGGTATTTTTCCACCATTAAAATCAGAAATTGCTGTGCCGCCAGGGTTTGGAAGAATCCCCAGCAACGCCAAAGGTTATTTAATATTAGCACTCCGGGAGCCCGGTAACGGGCGCGGGGGGGAAGGGAGCGCTTCAGAAACAAGCTGCTGGCAACGGTGGGGCCGCGCTGGGCTTTCACCGGGACCTTACGCCGCGCCGTGCCAAGCACAGAACAGAGGAGCCTTTTCAGGGCTGAGCTGCGCTTTCCAGATACTTAAAGGGTTTTATTCTGCCCGGTTTATTTTCTGCTGTTATTCCCAGCTTTGCCAGGCAGCGGGGAGGAAGCAGCTCGTCCAGGCGCGGCGAAGCTGGCGGCCGCAGGGGCTCCAAATTAAACCCTTTGCGAGAAAAGCAGATCCTCGCCGCGGCCCGAGATGCGACGGCGGCGACGGGCCCCCCGGGAGATGGGGAAGCTGCCGGAGACTCACGGCAAGCCCCTCGCTCAGCCTCCCGGTGTGCTGGGGGCTCTACCCTCTCCTGAAGCTCGGGGGGGGGGGTGTGTGTGTGTGTGTGGCGGCTGGTGTCACCCCACGGGTGACCCGTGGCGAGCACCCCACGCCCCTGGGCTCGCTCCCTCGGGGGCTGAGCCTTCCCCAGCTCCGTTCAAACGCGGCGTGGGTCAGGTTTAAAGGCGGCGAATGCAGCTTAGCAAAGGCCCTCAACCCTTCACGCGTGGGGCTGGGGGCAGCTGCGGGGGGGGGGGGTGTCCTGGGAGGAGCCGGAGGGACCCCGGGAGAAGCCTGGGAGGGTCCCGGGGAGGCCGGAGGGACCCCGGGGGAAAGCCGAGAGAGGTCGGGGGGGTCCCAGGGAGGCCGGCCGGGTCCCGAGAGAAGCCCGAGGGACCCCGGGGGGGGCCGGAGGGACCCCGGGGGGGGCCGGAGGACCCGGGGGGGGCCCGGGAGCGGCACTTACAAGAGGTCCCGCGGCGCCGTCCGGAAGAGCAGCCGCAGCAGCCGCCATCCCCCGCTGCCCAGGCAGACGCCGAGCGTCGCGGCCAAGCTCCAGGACCAGGGGGCGCCGAGGAAGCGCAGCAGCCCCAGGGAGCCGAGGGAGGCGGCGCAGACCCCCGCGGGGCGCATGCTGCGGGGGGCCGGGGGGGGTCTGGGGGCTGCGGGGGGGTCTGGGGGCTGCGGGGGGGTCTGGGGGCTGCGGGGCTCCCCCGGCCCCGACACCCGAGCGGCGCCGGCAGCTCCCGCTCCCGCCGCGGCCGCCGCCTCGGGCTCGGGCCCGCCCCCCCGGGAGGCGGGGACTGCGCGAAAGGCGAGAGGCGATTGGGCGAGGGTGAGGCTGCCGGGCTCGGATTGGGCGAGGCGGAGGGGCGCGGGGAGCGGGGGTGTCTCTGCCCGCCCCGGGAGCCGCCGCGCGTGTGCGTGCCGGCACCGCCCACGTTACCCCGGGACCGGGACCGGCGCTGCGACGGACACGAACACTCGGGGACCGCACGGGCCGGAACGCGAACACCCGGGGATACCCGGCCCCGAGACACGAACACCCGGGGACCCCACGGCCCCGGGACACGAACACGCGGGGACCCCATGGCCCCAGGACACGAACACCCGGGGACCCCACGGACCCGGGACACGAACACCCAGGGACCCCACGGCCCCGGGACATGAACACCCGGGGACCCCCAGCCCCAGGACCCACACAACCACCGTGTTCCCACAGCTCCCCCCGCACACCCAACTCTCCACGGCACCGGCACCACTCAGGACCGACATCCCCGTGTTCCCACGGCCCGGGACCGGCACTACCCACATTTCCCCCCCCCTCCCCACTCGGGACCGGCACCGCCCCCAGGCACCGCCCTCTCTGTTTAAGCCGATTACCGGATGCTCCAGGGACTCCGGGATCGTGGACGGCCGGGACCGGCGGCAGCCGCGGAGCTGGGGGGATCAGTCGGGGATCCGGGGGGATCCAGGGGGATCCGCGGGGATCCGCGGGGATCCAGGGGGGTCCGATCCGTTGGGGATCCGCGGGGATCCGTCGGGGATCCGCGGGGATCTGCGGGGATCCGTCGGGGATCCAGGGGGGTCCGATCTGTCGGGGATCCAGGGGGATCCGCGGGGATCCGGGGGGATCCGCAGCCCGATCCCGGCGGTTCGCAGCCCTTGGCCGCCCATGGCCGCCCTCTTCGCCGGGAAGATCCTGGTGGCCAACCGGGGACGGGACGAGGTGGAAACGGAGCGGGAGCTGGGCCGGGCGCTGGAGAACAAGGTGCTGCTGCTCTACTTCGGGTCGGGGCAGTGCCCGCGGTGCCGGCAGTTCTCCCCGCTCCTCAAGGATTTCTTCGTGCGGTTGACCGACGAGTTTTACGTGGAACGAGCCGCCCAGCTGGTGCTGGTGTACGCGTCCCGCGACGAGAGCCGGCGGCAGCAGAGCGCGTTCCTGAGGAGCATGCCGAAGCGCTGGCTGGCCCTGCCCTTCGGGGACACCTTCCAAAGGTAGCGGGGGGCACCCCACGCCGCAGCGGCCCCCCCGGCACCTCCAGAGAGTCCCAGAGACGGGAGGTCCGATATCCCGAGAGTCAGAGAGTCAGACAGAGAGATAGTCAGGTAGTCAGGTATTTAGACAGTCAGATATTCTGATACTCCAATATTTATAGAGTCAGATATTTAGATAGTCAGTCAGTCAGATATTCAGATATTTAGATATTCAGATAGTCAGATATTCAGGTATTTAGACAGATATTCTGATATTCCAATATTTATAGAGTCAGATATTTAGATATTCAGATACTTAGATGTTCAGTCAGATATTCCGATATTTCTGTATTCAGATAGTCGGATATTCATATAGTTTGATAATCAGATAGCCTGATAGTCAGGTATTTAGATATACAGAGTCAGATATTCAGATAGTCTGATAATCAGATAGTCCGTGTGTCAGATATTCAGATATTTAGATAATCAGATATCCAGATGATCAGATATTTAGGTGCACGGACATTTGGGTATTTTCCAGATGTTTTCCCTCACATTCGATCCCCGCTGCAGCAGTCAGTGTGGTGCGTTAATGGATAAAAAACCCAGGAAAGCTCTTTGGCCGCGTCGATTTATAAAGCAAAAATATTGCCTCTTCCTTCCATCTCGCTTTTTGCCGCTATCTTGGTATTCCGATTTCATAACGCACTATTTATAACGCTCAAAGACGCGTCAGCCGGCGCGCCGCAGCGCTTGAGGGGCGCCTGCAGCCGGGCGGATTGGGGGCACTTGCGCATTTACCGTAACCTCATTAGTGACAGAACGACCTGCAATTAATACCGAGAATTACTCCCGGCCCCTTTTGCGGGAGCACGTGAAAATTTCAAACGTCCTGCTGCTGTTTCACCGCTGCTGGTGTGAACCAGGTCCCAGCAGCCGTCCCGCACGCCCAAACCCCCCTCCCCCTTTTTCCAGCCCCGCAGAGATCCGCATCGGGCTCTAATTAGCAGCGACGGCCAAACGAGCTCCGTCCGTACGAGGACAGCCGCAGGAATCCTACGGGACGGTGGGGGTGAGGAGCGGCGAGGCCGAGGAGCGCTACCCCCCTTCCCAATCTGAGGTTTTTTTCGCCCGTTTTGCCTTGCAGGGAGCTGGAGCTGCGGTTTGCCGTGTCCGAGGTGCCGGCCGTGGTGGTGCTGAAGCCGAACGGGGAGGTCATCGTGGGAAACGCCGTGGAAGAGATCCGGCGCGTGGGTCCCGCTTGCTTCCGGAACTGGCAGGAGGCGGCCGAGCTGGTGGACCGAAATTTTCTCTTGGCGGAGGATTTTGAGGACTGGACGACGAGAAGCATCACCGACCCCATCCGCCGCCTCAAGTACCGGCTGGACAAGAAGACGGGGGCGGAGAACGAGGAAAGGAAAGAGGAAGGTGAAGAGGCCCCGTAGGGGCTCAGGGGGCTGACACTCCAGAACAGCAACGTCCGGCCGTGTCGTAGAAATCCACTAAAATCACGTTAGTTTTCCAAAAGGTGAACTGTTTGAAATCAGACGTGCTCTGCTCCCACCCACGGCTTTCCCTGTCTGGAAAAGTGGTCAGCGTAATGAAACAATTCCAACCCTGACTGAATGGCGTTTCCTTTTTATCACCCTAGGACCTAGTGTAAGAGAAACCTCCCAGTGGCACCTTTGTCATTTATTTACCAAAAAAAGTGAGAAGAAAAGTAACTGCTGGAGACCAGCGTTCAGTGACTGACTCGCTAAACAGTCTTAAAAATGGGAATGGCATTAAAACACCCTGTGGCCTGGCCGGGCGCTGCTCCGGAGGCTCGGAGACAGGAACGCCATCCCCACGAGAAGCCCGTGAAGGGTTTTTTTAGGAGACGGGCACCCACGCGCCAAGCGAGCAAGCCGCGAGCAACCTCCCACGTCGCCGCTCACGTTACGCTGCTGAAAATCTACATTTGGGACAAATCCCGCGGAGGGGCAGGCGGCTTCATGGGCGGAATGACGGCGCGCAGCAGCTGCCGCCGCGGCCTGCTCCGCCGAGCGCGAGCCGCCCCGCGTTATCTGCTCGTCGCGGTTGCCACCTGCTGCTGCCGACGGCAGCGATCCGCCGGGAAGCCGAGTCCCAGCCCGGGTGGAAAATCTGCTAAACCTACCACAGCTTGGAAACCTGCCGGAGCTCCGGAACACCGCTCGGCTCCGTCCTTCCGAATGCAACAGATTCGTAGGCAGCCGACGCCGAACGGCTGAGAGGGAAGGGCGCTCGGCGGCCCAAAATCTCATTTATGGAGCCCGCAGGGAATCCTGCTGCACACACGCCCTGCTTCCTGCAACCCAGGGGTCTGGAAAGCAGGAGAAGGGGGAAGAGGACCCTTCATTTGCTCTTTACCGGTCCCCCTGACCTCCACTGCACCACTGGGGGGGAGGGAGGGATTTCTAAAAGCTTTGCTGGATCCGGGAAGGAAAAGCGCCTGTTGAAGACAGACAGAGAGGCCGTGCAGGGCCGGCTTGTTCGACTTGTTTTCTCACTTAATCCTCCCTCTCTTCACCCAGCAAGTTTGACGGGGAAGGAGGAGAAGTCCTATAAAATAAACGGTTGGGAGGGACTCTGCTTGAGGCAGGACAAGAAGGGATGCTCTGTGGTGTTCAGACCAGACACTGCGTGAAAAGGCACAAAAAACCCCCAAAAGTGCTTTCAGGCGACGCACCTGCTGGAGGAGCGAAGCTGTGCTGGCTGATGGTCGCTAGCGACACGGGATTTCATTTACCGTGGGCAACTTCCAGCAGTCAGTAGGCCTGTATTTAAAAAAGGAGTTATAAATCGCAAATTAGGAACCTGGGGCAGTGGGAGGGAGGCAAAGGGCAACATTTCGCCTGTTATTAACTGGCAGTCAGGTGCTTCTTCTCGTCCACATGGAACTTTGATGTCAATAAAAGGACATTCTCCGCCTGAATTTACGGAAAGTTCAATAATATTAAACATGGACTTTTACCAGCCCTACCCCTTTTTTTTTTAACCGTCATATTTCCCTCTGTTCGAAACCAAAGTCGCCCTTTCCTCGGTGGTTGTGGGAAGGAACAACAAGCCGAGGAAGGGACACGGAGCAATAGCGGGAAGTGAATCTGCCAGCACTGCTGTGCCGACATCGTCGCCGCCACAAAGAAAATCGACCGCTCTAGTTCCTCGCCTTCACTTTCTGGGTTATTTTTTCCCCCGGTAAAAGCAGCCGTAATGCTTAGGAGTGTGCTTGAGACAAAAGCGGGCGATGGGGCCGCTCTTTATCTTCTAATAAAGCTTTGCACTACTTGGGAAGCCAAGAAAGCGAAACGGGCAGGCAGGCAGGCGCCCGGGCGCGAGCGCGGAGCGGCAAAATCCTACAGAGCAGCCACAAACTTTATTTGTCCATCCCCTGTTCCATCAGGGGTGAAAATCCTCCCGAGGGATGCGCTGCACAGCGCCCTGGAGACGTTTAGCCCTGCTTTCACCCCTGAGGTTTATTCTTTATTTCTACAGGTCACAGAACAAAGGGCCTTTGAAGGCTCAGCGCAGTATCTAAGCTCCCTTTAGCGCAAATAATCAATTTCTGAGATATTTACTTTTCCAAACATGCTACCTTACAGTTGCACAATTCTTGCTTTTCCTTTTTCCCTACGTCACACGATCTCTTTACAAAGGGCCTTGCTGCTCTGTAAAAATGAAAAATATACTGATGCACGTGGAATCACAGAGACGCTTCCCAAGTTTCAGACAGCACAGAGTTAATGAAAGCCAGGTAGGAGGATGGCTCTGATCCCCTAGATAGCCTGGGAAGTGAGTAATTTCACAACTCCCAAGAGGAATGCGGAAAATCCCCACAGCCTGACACCTGTCTGAGGTTGCAGACTCATCCCACGCAGACGGCACGGAGCGTCGCTCCCCGCAGCAGAGGCACGGGGCAGCCCGGCGGAGATCGGGAGCCCGACCGCACCGGGCCACCGGCAACGGCTCGATTCTCTGGTTTCACCAGCAAATACCAAGATGACGCGGTATTTTGGATAAACCGAGCGATTTCTCAGGAGAAGTGATGGCTTTTTCCTCGTCTGTGTTTTAGCTGAGGTAGGACAATGAGGGAGATGGAAGACACTCTCTACACCTCGCCTAGACCAACGTTTTTACTTGCAGATAATGTTGTGGTAAATAAGAGAGACCGATACGGAAACGCAGCGCTATTGCATATGGATATTCGGGGCTTGTTTTTGCTATCCAAGCCTTGCTAAGAAACAGTTTCCTAAACCTGGGGTTCCATTTGCTGGAAAGGGTGTAAAGAAACCTGATAATTAAAACTTGCTTCAGCCATTTCTCAGAAAATACCGGTTGCTACTCTACTGAATTAGAAAATGAATAAATGCTGAGAGCATACGAATTCATCCTGTACCCTCCTTTTTTTTTGTTTTTTTGGGGTTGTTGTTTTTTTTTTTTTTTTGAGTGTTTTGCCTTGCGTCTTTTTGCAAAATGCTGCCTCTCCTCCTCTCGATGAGGGGGAGCCGTGCTCACGGCCTGTGGGGCTTTGGAGGTGTGCACCCAAAAACATAGCCTGAGAAAACGGCTCGCCCACCGGACTCGGGAAAGCTCCACCTCGCCATGAGCGGGCCGGGAGCCCGGGACAGCGCCGGTGCGGCTCGGATCGCAGGCGGATCGCCAGGCAGACGCCTTCCACCGGGCCACGGGCCCGGACGCCTGGCCGCTGCCTGGCCTTCGGTCCAGAGCCCTGCCCCTGGGGATCGCCCCGGCCGCGCAGACCCCACGGCCAGCGCGGTGCTCCGCGTCACCAGACACCTGAGGAACATCGACAGGAAATTTCAGCACTTCCGCGAGCTCTTCCAAAAAGGTAAATACTTTTCAGTCCACTTACTTGTTTACAGATCAGATTCTATTCAGCAAAAGCGATCCTGTCTCGTTCTTGCTGCATTATTTATTTAAAGCAATGAATTTAGATGGCTCTCAGACAATTTAGGGTGGCTTCTCTCTGCGCAGATATTTAATTATGTAAACGCCTTTTCCTGTAATGAATTGCACCAATAGATAAAGTTTCGTAGCACTTAACCATCTAAGTGCACAGGTTTCCTCCAAACGCGATGCAAAAACTCCTCAAGTGCTGTTGACGGCACCTGCAATTCCTCACAAGGGAGGTAAACGGGCTCGAAGAAAGGGAACCTGGGAAAACTGGGATTCGTCACCGGGAAGGAGTCCAAACGTCGTGAGGAGGCTCAAGCTGGCGGTGGGAGCCCGAGCACGTGCCACAGCCTGGAAACGTGCTCCAGAAGTGCCGTGCTTTCCGGCCCGGCACGGCCCCCTCTCTCCTGCCCTTCCCCAGGATAGCCTCCGCACTTGCGGGACGCCCTCCAGGTTGGAGCCCAAGTAAATAGACCCAAGAATTAAGAAGACGGTTGTCACAGGCTCGGTGCTGCTCTGGAAACCCTGTGCAGCACGGCAGCATTAACAAAATCCCTTCAACTTCTTGCTGGAACAAGAAGCCTCCTGGGGAAGTGCCACCCCCTCCGCCAAGGCATCCGGAGGTCCCTGTGGTCCCGGTCTCCCCCGCCACCGCCGCAAGCTGTAGCTGTCGGTCACGGTGCCTGCCTTACCCCCGGCACGCCGGACGAGTTGGGTTGGCCACGCTTCTCGAGCAAACTCCAAACTGCTCGTAGCTTCGCCAGAGATTTGCTTTTCAGAGCCCCCCGACAATGCCGGCCAGGCACGGGAATTAGACCCGCCTGGGCTGGCTCTTTCGCCGAGCATCCTTCCGAGCGCTCAGCTCGGGACTGTGTTTTTCTCTTGGGGGTTGGCCTTTGGCTGGAAAGACGCAAAGATACGCGGTGCTCCCGCAGCGGGAAGCGGGGACGTTCGTCGGTTGGTTCTCGTGGAGTCGAGCCCGGACAAAAGGCAGCAGGGAGCTTCATCGAGGGTCCCGGCGACGAGGGACTGGGCAATTTCCACATCCATCCCATCGCCGCTCGCGGGTTTTTAGCTTGCTTCGGTCCTCAGCGTTTGTTATTTTCTGTTTTGCGCAGAACTCGAGTATTTAGGAGCAGCCGGGTACCTGCGTACCCGAAGTGAGCTCATCTTTCAAGAGGTGAGGATGAGAGTTTATACGTGCAAAAAAAAAAAAATGGTAATTTTTCCCCTTCTTAATTTTAGGAGAAGTTATTTCAGCTTCTGTTGAAGCCAAGCTGGCAGACTTACTGCAAGCCATCTCCTCCTTCCTGAACACATATCCTGCTTTGACCGGGGATGCCATCCAGCCCACCGTAGCAACCCTTGTCGCCAATATCAATGGTAAATCCATTAAGCTTCGAGAACGTAACGAGTGCTGTAGTTACTGCCCCCTGCTCAGCGGTGACGGAAAAGCTTTCGGCCGGGCTGGGCACAGACACACCCGGGTGTCCATGCGCACGCAAAGCACGCGCGGCTACCGAAGCTGAGCAGAAGTCCGTGACCGTCAAGGCTTATTCCTATCCAGCTCCCCTTGTTAGGGAAGATGGTGCTTTTTGAGTGCGTGAAAACACGATGAAGGCTTAAACACGAGAGCCTCCCTGTTTAGGTCGGCGTGGTGCAGGCAAACCGCGCCTATCTGCCTCTTCTCCACTACTAAAGCCACCTCGTGTTGGGAGGGGGAAACCAGAGCACGGGCGGCGCCGGGGAGCTGTTGGTGGCGTGGCTCTGTCTGCTGGAGCCAGCAGGCGCGCGTCGGCACTTCCCGCAGCGCCGAATTCCTGCACGACCCCGCGCCAAATGTTGGCGAGGCGTTCGCCTGCCACCGCCTGGCAGGGAGGGAGGAGTAGGCTGACCCACAGGGTGACGGCGGCGGTTCGTTAACACGGCCCTTGGAGGTTCAGGTGGCGCCCTTCGCCGCGCTGACCTCGGTGGGATGGTTTGAAGATGAATCCTCCTTTCTGTCCCTTCCTTTTGAAGGTGGATCTGCTCTTTCTATCCCTGTTTTGCACGTTGGTTTCTTCGGAGCTCAGATATCCTTGAATCCAGTGGAAAGTCCTCATCTGAAAACTAGTCTCAGGCTCCTCAGAAGAAAGGCCGGGTGGTTCCTGGCCTTTGTTCTGGGGGTCTGATGAACTTTGAGAGGAAGCGCTGAATGTCCCGTCCCAATATTCGGTGTCTGAGCAGAGCCAGGGCTGGCAGGAGGCTCTCAGCCGTGGCTGGAAGGAAGGAAAGTGCCCTAACCACACCGCCGCTTTCGCTCCCGGTTTCCTTCCTCCCCTGCCTTCAAAAGACTTACCGGTATGAAAATCTATTTGCCTTATAAAATCGCAGTGGTGACGTGAAAGGAAGTTTAATGAGATCTCCTAGGGGGTGGCTCCTGTGTACTGTCTGCAGTAACCTGCCACGGTGCTTGGTCTGAAATAGCAATTGCAAAAAACTTCACCTGTTGAAGCGCAGAGGGAGTCGCAGGCTGCGCTGAGGGGCGGCCGGAGCAGCTCTGTGCCCTCCGCCCAGCGCCCGGCCGCCGCTCCTCTCCTTAGAGACTCGCTATCGCGCTGGCAGCGGCTCTGTGTCATCCTGGAAGGGGGAGATGGGCCGTTTCTCAAGAATTCCCCTACTTCCCTGTTGTGAGCCTCTGGTCCGCAATAGAAAGTTTAGGGTTTTACCAAAAAAAAAAAAAAAACCAAAAAACAAAACAAACCAAAAAAGGACACACTCATTCACCAAGAACGTCTAGGAAACAGGCCGAGGAGACGGGGAATTGGGATCCTGAGTTATGTTTCTGGTAAATAAGGAGCCCCACCCCTTGTTCTATGTTGGCTTTTATAAGGTTTTTTGGTTTTTTTTTTTTTTTTTTAATTAATCAGAGGGGTGTTGCTATACTATGTTGCAATCCTTTTGGCTCTAAATGCCTTTACACTAGAAAAAACACTTTTTATAGCACTTATCTGTAAATAAAGCACTTCACAAACAGGGTATGATAATTGTACTCACACCAAACACACCTCTAATTATACCAGTTGAACATAAGAACCCGCGACACAGGCCAGGGGAGATTTGATGGAGAAACTCATCCTGCTGATCCCTGCGCCGACCCCAGCGGCGCTTTGTCGTGGTTTTATATCCCGATCCTCCCGCTCCCTCCCAAAACTCAACCCTTCCCTCCCGAGCCAGAGCAGAAACTGGCACACGCACCACGTTCACTTGAGCCCGAAACATTCCACACCCAAGCAGTAACTCTGAGATGCTAGGATATTTTTATTTTTTCTTAATTAAGCGTTAATGATAGAGAGGTCAGCTCAGTCTTAACTCTGACCCGTGTCTGGCTGTTGATTTGCCTGACACGAAATCTGCGGTGCAACCACAGGGAGAAATTTTGCAGAAGAAACGTCGCGGCATTACTTGAGCCTCAGCAGGCACCAAGGAAGGGGAAATTGTGTTTTTTGAGAGTCCAGACCCATAAGCAAATTTTACGATCGCATAAGAAAGCATAGGCTTTTTAATTATTCATTATTTAGTGAAGAAAAATCAACAGCTTCACTTCGGAGCGCAAGCTTGTGTGTTGACTCCCACGTTTTTGCTGTCAGTCTCTCTAAAATTTGCAGAAGAACAAAGTTCCCTTCAGTTTCTGCTCACGTCAATCTACAATCTTTGCATAAGTGTTTTCTAGTTCCCATAGCAGAATTCCATCATTAAGTCACCACCAGTATCCCTAAACTGAAGGCAAAATTCACCCACTTTAAAGACGGCAACGCTCTCCCTGTGCTTGCAGCCAGCAGCCCGGCTGCTTGCGAGCGCATCGGCGCGCGGGGTGGTTGGGATTTAAAGAGCTGCATCCCAGCCCTCCGGCCAGAGAACGCTCCCGGGCTGAGAAACATCCTGACGCCAGCCATAGCTTTTTCCCTAGCTCATCAAAAACCGCCAACGCCAGGGCTTGTTTTTAAGGAACAAGCCCTCCAAAGTTGAAATTTCGGTTTTGCTGAGCAGGGCTGCCATCTCCGAGGAGGCTCCGATGCACCCACGCACCGGCGAGGAGCAGAGCGCTGGCCTGGCTCTGCCTGGGATGCTCATCCTCCCCCGTCTTCCATCCCCTCTTTTAACCTACCAGCCCTTTCTCTCCCCTCGCCACCGGCAGTTTCTCAGGGGTTTGCTCAGCCTGTTTGGAAGCACGGGAGTTTCTCAGGAGCAGAGTGCGCTCTCCAGGTAGGAAACCGGGGGCTGCTGCGATAGCTGCAAGCCCCGAAAGCCAGGAGGGCTCGGAAGCAGTCTCTCCCCTTTGCTCTTTACCAAGACACATCTGAGTTATGCAAATTGCATGATTAAACAAACGCACGCTGCGCGCTGCTCCCTCACACGGAAGCGTGGCTGCAGGAAGCAGGTTGGGCCACAGCGGCCGCACTCCCCGACGGGCGCTTCTGCCAGCAATTTCGGGCAGGTCGTCTTCACATGCAGCTACCATGGGCCTTTGGAGAATTTCATCACGTCTGAGCTGATCAAGAATTTGTGCTTTACTTAATTCAGCTGCGATTCAAAGCTGGGTAATTTGGGATTCTGCTGCTCTCAGACCAAAATACTGAAGATTCAGCCATGGGAGACCCAGAACCGAGTGGTATGTGATGGCATTTGAAACAAGCTTTTTTGTTGTTTGTAATGTAATTTGGGGGCATGATGTGACATACGAAGCAGAGCAGCCAGAGCCACCTAGGAAATACGGGTGCTAGAAAACAGCTGTAAGTTCCTCTAACTGGGGTTTTCCATGAAGATCCCAACTGTTCAGTTCCCTCAGTCTTTCTCTGACAGATGAAGTTATGTGATGCTTTTGTACTGGGCACTGACTTATGTAAGAGGACAGGACATAAACCCCCTTTTTCGCAGGCAGAATGGGCAGCATTTTCTCTTAAGAGATTGGGAGTACAAAATGCTAGTACTCACACATCATCTCCTCAAGGCCCTCTGGCAAAAACTTGCTCCAAGTCCCTGTCCTCAAAGGTGGCAACCTTAATTATGAACATAATCAGTCTGAATCAGAGTAACGCTTACCAGTGGAGCACCTGAGAGGTCTCTGCCACCTGAGAGCACAAATCCCTCCTGCCAGAGCCCCACGTTCAACAGGGGCCAGTCCCTGGTGCTTCGGAGGGGAAAAAAAAAAAAAAAAAATCTCACGGGCTCTGTAATCAAGGAAAGACAGCAAGCAACGTTAGTCCTTTCCCCGCTGTCACATTCAAATGCATGGTCATCCTTGCAGCTAGATGTTTCAGCTGGCCTGTCAGCACCTGGATCTTGTCATGTCTTTGTCATGAAAATCAGAAAAAAACCATTAGCTAACAGAGTTTCTGCCGCTCATGGCTGTACGTGGGGATAGTTAAAGGATGTCTCGGTGTCCTTGATGAACTGAATAAGCCAGGCTGGTTTAGAAACCGTACTGCGAGACCAGTTTTCTGCCCAGCCTTGCCCTGCAGAGCGGTTTTGTCTTCAGCAACGTTGCCTGCACAACCACCCCTTGTCGGAAGCGACGCCACCACCTCGGGCGCCCGCCGCCCAGCTGTGTGCAGAGCCACAGGCAGAGCCCGTTTCTGCTCCCCGCTCCCCTTCGGCCCCTACCCAGGGCTGGCAGCCGCCTCCCCCCGCGCGGCTCCTGTCAGGCAACCGCCCCTGGCACCCAGCTCCGCTCTCCAGGGCAGAGACTCCCCGCCTGGCCATAAATATCTGCGCCTAATTTGGGGCTGTTCAGCTATATGCCGCGGTGCGTAACCATTGAACCACTGAAAGACACTGTGCATAAACGGCTCTGCCTTAGCCGCCGGCCTCCAGTCGAGCACTTCACCAGCAGAGACGATGGTACAAGTCAGATCATTTAACAAACCCACCAAAAAGCAGGGATCTGTTCCTGAGGTCCCTCCAGACACAACCCCATACAGCGACCAAAGAGGTATTTTTAGGTTTGTCAGTGAAACGGCTTTTAACGTTTAGCAGTTTTTAGGCAAGAATACCGCCCAGACCGCGACACGGCTGTAAAAGTCAGATGCCCTTGAGAAATCCAAGCGTGCCGTACCCACAGAGTGCCTTTTAGCAACAAAATCTCATCTCTTAAGGAGGGTTATTTGACAGCTCTTTTGCAAAACCAAGATGCCTGGTATAAATTATTTTGTTCAGTCTCATTCTTCGGCCAGTGGGTGTCCTAGATTCACCCTTCCGTTGCTAACGGGGAGGTCCTTTTACTGCTATCCAGTACTGGAAGCATCTGCTGTGGCTTCACCGTCAGTCTAAATTCTTCTTACCATCCCGAACGCTGCCTTACTCTTAATTTTGGAGAAACAAACAGCCAGAAGCCTAATGTAGTTGTACTCTTCTTCCTTAAAAAGCAAGGTTTATTAACTAAGAACTGCAGGGGGCTGCCATCTTTCAAGACAAGTCTGGTTTCCTAATGTTTTCCTCTAAAGCTGGCAATCACCTCATTTTTATTTTGCAAACCAACGCACCTGTGCTCAGTTTCTGCTGGCAGACATCTCAGAAACATTTGCAGTGTACATACTTTCTTTTTCTAACGAATTGATGTACGAAGTGGAAATTCTCCTTCCCCCACCCCAGCAAATTTCATTAATCCCCTTGTTAATACGTACTGCTATTCAGAACGCCTGACTTTGCTGGTATTTCCTGTCAGTTGTGGGTGATTGCAACTGTTTAGTAGCAGTTCCAGCCTCTTCAAAAATTAGCTGATTTGTAAATTCGGTTTATCGTCAGGGCCGTCGTTCCACTGAAGTAGGAAGAGACGATGAGAAATCGGAGTGACAGATGGGAAGTGGTCTCGGGTTTGCAAAGCTGTTGTCAAGGAACCTTTGTTTTGTGATTATTTTGTTCCAAAACTGTTATTCCTCAGCCAGACAGAGATGCTGATCTGGGCAGCCGGAGCAGCGTCCTTTGCTGGCAGCCATAACATGAGTGTCCCTGGGGGATGTCTTGGTTGAACAGGGCAGATTTCAAGCAGGAGTGGCAGGTGACCATTTGAGAGTTTTTAGACTTATTTGGCCTGATTTGCTTCAAGCTGTGTTGTGGGTTAGTAAGTAGGGGATTTTACACAGATGCTGATAAGAAGCGCGAGTCCTTTTATGCAGAAACAGGAGATTTGCCCCAGTCGAAAAATCCAGATGTTGTGTTGCCAAGTGCACGACCGAGCGCAGAGAAGAGGAAGGTGCTACCAGGAACAGGCCTGTGGATAGCGAGGTTGGGCAACGGTGCCACGCTGAGTTAGGGCTTCAGACCCTGACCTCATTTCACGGCAACTGCAGCTGAAAGGGAAGCGATGCTTCTGCTGAACAGCAGAATGAGAGCTTTGGCTGCTAAAAATATCCTCGGCGCGGTGCACACCGACCGCTGCCGGAGCTTCCCCTCCCCGTAACGGCGGCAAAAGGCAGGGAAGAGCGGTGAGCTTCGCGGAAGGTAGATGATGCTGATGGGGCTTGTCCATCCAAGGATGGGCAGAACTTGGTTCTGCTGGCATGGTCTAAGATAAGAAGAATAAGGGTATGCTGCCCCTCAAGGAACAGATGGGGTTTCATCTCCAGAAGAGAGTTTCTAGATCAGCCCTCCAGTTATCATTGGGTTGTCCAGCAAGACAACTGGTTTTGAATCGAAGCATCCATTTGTAAATAAGGCTGCAGAGCTGTCGTGAGCAGACAAGGGATTGAGCCCCAGTCTCTCCGGTCCAGCCCCATCCCAGCGCCACAGCGGGTGCTAATCCTCACCGCTCCAGGCAAAGGGCTTTAAAAGATTAATTAGCTGATGGGTATTTATGGGAGCCTCTGCAAACCTGCCAGGCGCGGGGGCTCCACTCTCCTCCTTGTACAGGAAAATGTAAACATCCGTAGCAAGTGGGCAGTCAGGAACGCACAGCTCATCGGGAGGGCACGTCACGAAGGTGTCCGATAGCTGGCTGACGGACGGCAGCTGTGACAACACAGTAATACATTCAGGGCAATTAATTTCCGTGACGGGATACGTACGAGGCACACGGACCCTTTGGCCCGGGCCTGCACGTGCCAAAAAGCTGCTCCAAAGATTTCAAACAGACGGGACAAACGGGTGCTGCTGCTGAGCGACAAAGGGGCTGCGCAGCGGGAAGCGCGTGTTTAAACCCGGGGGAATGCAGCTAATAACGTCGGCTACAGCAAGGCTAGGGAAACTTTCTACGTGCAGTTTTTTCACTGTCCTGCATTTATAGCATTACATATTATTTAGTAAGACGAAGCAAAAGGCTTGTGTGAACCCGAGGTTCTTGCTTATCTTACGATGCCCGCAAGAGCTGCTTTCAAAAGCAGAATGTTTCATTTTGCCCATCACCAGCGCTGCTCGGGTTGAGTCACTCCTTCCTGTTGTACAATCCTCTGCTAGGGGTAAACAAGAGAAATTAAAGCTGTCCATGTGCTCACACGAAGTAACAAGAGTCGTTAGGATTCAAATGGAATTAGTATGTCTTGGATTATGAACAACTTGTGCCTCTTACAGAAAAAGCAGAATGAGATGTTTGGTAAACTGCCTGTCTCAGGTCACCCACTGGGTGGGAAGTGTGGATTTATCAGGATTAAGCAGGACAGGCGCTGGGCACAGTTTGCAGTTCTCTGAGCAGCACTGGTGCTTTTCAATCCCTTCCCCTTGTCCCCCAGGCATGGCAGGACAGTCTGAGTGGCTCCTTCCAGCTCCTTCAGATCTCAGTGGTTTATGGTAAGAAAAAACAAGCGTGTCCTCACACATTTTCAGTGTCTCATTTCACTTTGGAGTAAAACATTCAGAAAGCTTTTCAAGAACAAGGCCAGCCTAAATCTTAATTATTTGCTCAGCAAAGGCAAGCCAGGAGCGCTGCCAGCTCGGTTCTCGATGCAGAAGGGAACACAGCACCCGCCCCACGCTGCTCAGCGCTGACGGCGAGCGGGAGCGCGGCTTCGCTGTCCCCCCCACCCTTCTTCACACTTATTTCTATTTTTAAGCTAGCGATCGGGTTAGATTGGTTCGGACACCATCGGGTTCATGGCTCAGACACTGCAATTGTGTGATTGTCAGAGAGGACTTTTGTTTGATGCCAAACGAGGAGATTTGTGGAAAAAAAAAAAAAAAATCACTTATCCTTCCCTGTCGTTCTCTTCATTGTACATTCAGATACTTTCACTGCGTTGTTTGGCATCTTTATATAGTTCAAAACCCCACGTGCTCACATACATGCTCACAGTCTCCCTTATTATCAGTCCAGATAAGCCAACCTTGTGCTTTTTTGCACCGTTTTGGCTGGAAGGGTGGAAGATGACCAGGGCTTTAGTGGTGCCCAGTAGCTGGCTCCTCCCCTGCGTCCTGGGACTTTCCCAGGGGCAACATGGTGCTGTGAGTCTGAGGTCAGCAACAGGGCGATGCTTTTTGTAGGCTTAACAACAGGCCAGCTCCTAATCAAAACCTGATTTGAAAAATCTGGATTTTTCAGGACTGAGACAAGGCCCAGGAGTAGCTATAACTAAATGAGACACAAACTGACTTTTCTATCAAGCACCATTTGAGCAACGTTTACAAGTATTTGTTCACTGTCAAACACTCAACTACCAGTGAAGCAACTCTAGATTTAGGTCAACCACATCCTGTTTCCTGGAATGTCAAAAGGACAAAGAAGAGTGAAGTTTTCTTTTGTTTTTACCAATTGTGCCTTGTTTCATATTCTAAAACGGTCTTCCCTTTTTTTTTTCTTTTTTTTTGTTTTCGCAGCAACTTTCAGCCTGAGTCAGTTTTAGTTTCAGCCCTCAGTGACAAACACATGACAGAGTGGAAAGTGAGATTAACGGCATTAATAACCCCGTGTAAAATGCACGTGCTCACTTCCACCCTGCCACACGCGCAGCCGCGGGCAGAACACGCTTTGACCTCACAGAGACGCGTGGCGCTGCCCCTCGAGTGGGGACAAGCCCATTTTCTATTTTGCATGCCCAATAATTTGTACCTGCTGGGGACTGAATGAGACGCAGGGTTTCATAACCTAGGTTATCACCATAAATCAGCACATATAATATTGAGAAACGGTCCCCCGCCCCCCGCGCACCAAATATTGCGACACACACACACGTGACGCTCAAGGCAGGGGCCACGGCTGCAGCACGGCCCGGCCCGCGCGCCGCCGCGCTTGCAGCAGCACTTGCAATTTTCTCCGCGTGTGGTTCTGCCGACACGGGTTGCACGGTGTGTGCCTGGGTTTTTTCGAGGCGCAGGGCACGCCGCGGCGCCCTGGGAGCCCCTCCGGCAGATCTGCCAGCCCCGAGCTAAGGACGGCGGCGTGGCTGCGGCTCCGAGAGCCCACCACAAAGGTTGCTGGGGCCGAGCTCGGGCCTGATGGCAAGCCCTAAAATCAGCTCGCACGTCTCCCCTGGACACCCGCAGTTTTCCGGGGGTTCTGTCCAGGGAAACTCGATGAATTTACCGTTCCCCAAAGTTTTCTTCTGAACCCCATCTCGCTCCCGGCCTCACCTTGCTGCGCTTTGCCGTGCCGCCGCAGTGTCGCTTCCCTGCTCAGGGCTCAGCCACGCTCCCCTGCACCTCTGGGAACCACCCTCGGGAGCTTTCAGTGACGTGATTTCTTCTCCAACTCCAGGTCTCGACAATCAAGAGAAGACACCTGAAAATAGGAAACGGTACAGTGAGATATTCCGGAGCCTGGACGCCATAGAAATCTCCATTGGAAACGCGTATGTAGACAAAAGGGGCCGAACTGGTTTTCTGGATCCTTGGAACCTCAATTTATCTGATTACTTTTTTTTTTTTTCTCGTTATACAGGACAGTTGACATGTTCATTGGTGACGCTGACAGCACTGACGACGCAGACCTGGCCCCTGAAAGAGAGGTCGTTCCGGTAGGCAAAGAATGAGATCTGTTTTATTAAAGAAATTATCGATGTCCATTGCCAAAGTGCATGATTCTATGTTATTAAATTCTATGTTACTAAAATTGGGGTTTGGGTGATCATCTGAGAAAAAAAAAAAAAATAGTTACACCTCTTATTTGACTAGCCAGAACCGCACACCACCTGGTTATAACAGTGATGGAGGTGACAACAGAGCTGATAATATTTACTGGAAACATTCAGGCTTTTTGGATTTATATTTTTCTGACAAACAAGATGTGGAAATTGCTGATTTAAGTTCTGCGTGGTAAAAAAGATCAGACAAGACAACACACCCAAAATACATGTCAGAGTCATGCATCAAAAATCTCTACAATTTTGGCCTTAAGAAACAGAAGACCTTCAAAATAGAACTTCATGTTTTTTCGCTTGCTTTGGGCAATATGGGACTTTTGGGGATAATCAGCCTCATTTCATGCTTTTCTGTATAAACAAAGGGGCTAGGGATTTCATTTTTCGGTGACAGTGACTGTGCTCATGTAATCATATTATCCCATGGGCTAAACTTAAAAAGAAAAATCTATTTTGTGATTTATAGTAAAATAAGAGCTGCCCTCTGCAGTTTTTTCCAGCCTTGATCTCTCTGCCCTAACCATGTGTTTCCTCCACGTTTCTGCCTGGGATAGACCTTCCCACACTACCTTCCCTCTGACAAATCGCAGGCTGCTATTTTAACTACACTGGGACGCTTGGCTAAGCAAAATCGGCCTTTCTGAAAAATTCTCCAAATTTCTGAATATTCATTTGTCTTTTACTGCTCTTTTTTTTTCTTTTTTTTCTTTTCCCCCTCCACAGCTGAGTGAAAGTTTCTGCAAGAGCAAAACCACTTCAGAGAGGCAAGTGCAGGCAGACATAACAGGTAACATTGCTAATTAAAAATCAAAGAGGTGGCCTGAGAGCACTTGGCCGATCGGCCGGCAGCGGCCCTGGCAGCCTCCCGGTGACACGGCTGAAAAACGCCGGTGTCTCTGCCGGCGGCAGCCTGGGGCTGAGCTCGGCCTGACGCCCACCAAGGAGCTCAGTAGTCCTGCTGCTTCCTCCAGGCCCTCCCCTCTTCGCCCATTAACATCCCCGTAAGGAGCTTCTCACGAGGTCTTGGTTTCTAAATCCCGAGACATCAGTTCCCAAAGGTCTGCCGGTTTTAAGGACGGTGAAGATGCAAACCTGGGATACTCCTGAAGAGGGTCCCAAAAATAATAATACGGAGAGTGGCCCGAGGAACGGCAATCACCCCGATGTGGCTACGTGTCGTCCCCCTCTATCGCCCGAATCGCTGGGGTAACTCCTTTGCACAGCAAGCACCCGCTGTTCCCACACCCCTGGATTATTGGTCGTGAGCCACTTATCACACCCTCAAAGGGAAGGTGTGACAGGCAAGCGTCTTGCGGTTTGCTGCATACTTGTGCTTAGCGTAGCCAGATACATAGCTGGGGAAATTCCTCATTAACAGAGACAGTTCCTCACAGCACAGCCCTTCGAGGTCATCCTCCTAACACCGCTGTTGTCAGCAGTCTGATCTCAGGCCTGGATTGTCCCAACCCTGCAACAAAATATCGTGGCCATTCTCTGTCGGAAATTCTACTACATACTCCGAAGCGCTTTGTTACTCTGGGAGGGTTCTCACCAGCCCCGTACTTGTCGCTGCCATCCAAATGCAACGTAAAATTGTTTTTTCTTCATATAAAGTCCCTGTGAAGCAAAAAAAACCCCAAATTTCTGAGCTGCTTTCTCACAGATTTCAGCTTGAAACGTGTTTACATTTCCTCACAGTCTGATAAATCTGTATTAGGTTTCACCAAGAAGCAAGAATACTTCCTGCAACTCCCCAGTAATACGTTAAGTCCTTCACTTTTGGATTCCAAAACAAAGTAAATTAAAATTTTTAATTAAAGTGGAGGGCAGAGGAATACACGTCTCTAAATTACCTGGCACTTACATGGTTCTGTGGGCAGGACTGTGGGGTCACCCTGAAGTAGATCATAATGACACTGTTCAGTGAAAGACCTTTTTTATGGCTGTTATCTGAGTATTTTGCAGCACCAACTCTTGAGACTCCGATTTTGCCACTCTTGGAGGAGCCTCTGCCCGTCAGCCAGAGCCGTGCTGAGCCTGGATTTATTCTGTTGCAGTTCAGGAGGCAGACGAAATGCTGATAAAATGTGAAGGTGGCATTGATGCGGCCCTCGAATACGCCAAAATGTGGTGTAAATACGTCAAAGAGCTTCTCAGCTGGATTGAAAAACGTCTGAGTTATGGTGAGTCTGTGCACAGGACCTGCTGGCAGTCTGGACACTTTTTGATAGCTTTTTATAAAAAAAAAAAAAAAAAATCATAGCCAAACCCACACAATCTCAAGCAAAAGTACGGCGGTGAGAAACTGGCCCAACCCCAGGAGTGATCCCTGGCTTTGACAAACCCAGCTCCGCGACTGTGAATCCGGTGTCTAATCCACTCTGCCCTTTTACAGAGACAGAGTTTGCCAAAGGGATGGTGAAGATCGCAGAATCGGGACGAAATGCCATCTTCCAACAGGTACGGGTCCCCACGATGCTCGTGCTCCGCTGCACGGGCTTCCCTGAGGAAGAGGAGGAGGACGGGAGTCCTACGCGGAGCAAACAGGAGGCTGGCTGCACACGTGAACTGCTTGTAGAGTCCAGCTTAAATCCTACAGCAAATACCCCTCCAAAACTGCTCCTAAACCTCTCAGTATTGGAGCAGTTCTTTTTTTTTTTTCCCAAGGATTTAACATGGAGTTATTGTTTGGAAAATCAGAGAGATGATTCAGCAAGGCAAGGCACGGAGTCAGCGCAATATTGCCCTACACTTCCAGCACCCTGCTGTGTTGTCTGAAATAACCCCCCCTCATCCACCCAGTGTAGACACTCTCCCCGTTCTGTAATAGAGATCTTGGTCGTAGCTGCCAAAAGCTTTTCAATTTCAGAAAGCTGCAGTGATTATCCATCATTTTATATTTGCTTTTTCTGGTTTCTGCAGTACAACATGCCTCTTCGGGCACTCTACACCATGGTCCTGGAACATGACATAAAGGTTGGAAATTCAGCTAGTGAGACTGCAGGATTGCTCCATCAGAAGGAATTCTACCAGGTACCGTATTTCTCTGTGGATTAGACAAATTTACTGACAGTTTAGATGGGAGCATCGCAGAGAGCCAACAAAGTGATTTATCCAGGTCTGAGGAGGTGGAGGGGATAAGAGAATGAAACGCACCAGGTTTAAGGGAAAAAGAGGCATCTTGCAGGGCTTGCTTTCTCATGTCGTGCCCTCAGCTATCAGATACTTCTTCCTGCCTCCCAAGGAACTGTTGCCGTCCTAACTGTTATTCCCCTGCAGCCTCTGTCAGCCAAGAAGAATGAAATTGAGAAATGGCGGAAAGAATTCAAAGATCAGTGGACAAAGGAGCAGAAGAGAATGGTAAGAGGCCAACAGATGTGCCAGACAAAGCGCAAAACACAGAAAACAAATGTTTATGAACGAGCAGTAACTAATGTAAGATGCATCCTGCTATTGAATAAAAGCCCTTTTTCTTTTTAAAGAGTAAAAAGGGGGAGCACTAGCAGCATGCCCTGTGCCATCCGGCCTGTGCTACCTGCTAGGTGCCCTCACCTCCTGGCGACGGCCAGGGTGCAGCTTGCGTTCACACACGCTTCGGTCCCGCACCAAAACCCAGTGGCACACACCCCGCTAGCACTTCACCATCAGCCCTTTTCTCCAGGGATTCCTGCTGGGGAGGAAGATGCTCCTGGGCACCTTGATCCGGGACAGCCAGGTCTCTCCTCAGCTGCAGAGGAAACCCAAGAGCTCCCTTAGAGCTCCTGAACTTTAGAAGAGGAGGGAAGGAAACTCCTAGAATGGTTTGGGTGGGAAGGGATCTTAAAGACCAGGTAGTGCTGACCCCCCTGCCCTGGGCAGGGCCCCCTTCCCCCAGCCCAACCTGGCCTTGAACCCTTCCAGGGAGGGGGCAGCCACAGCTGCTCTGGGCACCCTGGGCCAGCGCCTCCCCCCCCCCCCCCCCGGCACAGGGAAGGATTTCTGCCTTAGAGCTCACCTAAATTTGCCCTCTGGCAGTTTAAAGCCATTACCCCCCATCCTATCCCCACCCCCCTGACCCAGAGTCCCCCCCCACCTTTCCTGTCCCCCCTTTAAGCCCTGGGAGGCTGCTCGAAGGGCTCCCCAGAGCCTTCTCTTCTCCAGGCTGAACCCCCCCAACTCTCTCAGCCCGGCCTCCCAGGGGAGCTCCAGCCCCCCCAGCATCTCCGTGGCCTCCTCTGGCCCCGCTCGAGCAGCTCCGGGTCCTGCTGTTGGGGGCCCCCGAGCTGGCCCCAGCACTGCAGGGGGGTCTCCCCAGAGCAGGAGAATCCCCTCCCTCGACCCGCTGGCCGCACTTCTCTTGCTTCCCAAGCCCCTCTCCTTGGGGCTGCTCTCCAGCCCCTCCTCGCCCAGCCAGGATTTGTGCTGGGGACTGGCAGGCCCTTGCCCTCGGCCTTGTTGAACTCCAGGGGGTTTGCCCGGGCCCCCCTCTCCAGCCTGCCCGGGTCCCTCGGGGTGACATCCCTGCCCTCCCGCGTGTCCCCACACCACACGGCTCAGTGTCATCGGTGACCTCGCTGAGGGGGCACTGTCCATGCCCCTGACCACGATGTTAAACAGCACTGGTCCCAGTACCAACCCCTGAGGAACGCCACTCGTCACCGCTCTCCACCTGGACAGCGAGATGTTGGCAGCAACACTGAGTGCCACCATCCTCCCAATTCCTTATCCACCGAGGGGTCCATCCATCAGATCCATGTCTCTCCCATTTAGAGACAAGGATGTCATGCAGGACAGCGTTAAATGCTTTGCACAAGTCCAGGTAGATGATCTCTCAGACACAGTTTGCCCTTAGTGAAGCCATCTGAATGATAATATCTATTTGAACCGGGAGACAGGCGCTTTCCTTATAAGCAGGGTCCTGCTGTGGCTTGTTCCTCCCGCTGCCTCGCCGGGTTTCCTAAACCTGTTCCTTTTTCCTGTTCCAGAATGAATCCTTGTCATCCCTGCGCAAGTCCCGCCTGCAGTACGTGCAGCGCTGCGAGGAGCTGGAAAAAGCAAAGCACCTGAGCGCCAAGGCGGAGGACGAGTATCAGAGCGCAGCCGTCACCAACCCTGGCAGCGCCACCAAGCAGCTGGAGAAGCGACGCCGCTCCTGCGAGGAGGCACAAGCCAAGGTGAGGAGTCCCACACCAGGGCTGCTGGGGCTTCCAGCCATCCCACGCGCCGGGTCGCGGCACCTTCCCACCCGGGCCGGTGACCTTCTCCTCCTTTGCTCCGCGCAGGTTCAGGAGACGGAGGCTCTGTACAAGATGTGCATCAGCGACGCCAACTTTCGGCGGCAAGAGCTGGAGAAAGTGCGAGCGCGGATCGTCTCCCACATCCGGAAGCTCATTTACCAAGGGGACGAGGTGCTGACGTGGGTACGTGTAGTCTCATCATTTCCCCTCTAACCCTCACTTCAGGGAAACTGCCGTTTGGGATGAGGCTTCTAGGCTCCTCACCATTTCACTGTTGAGCCACCCTACATCTGGCTGTTCTCCGGAAGCTGAAATTAGGGGAGTGCTCTGGAGGTTGCTTTGCTACCAGCGACTCTCAGATACTTCGTAATTTTTTTTCAATTACTACTGCTTTGAGGACACAGATATCCATAGAGAAAGTCTGGGGGGGGGAAAAAGGTCCCAGGACAAGAAACGGCGACAAATATTTTTTATCCGACTTGTTAAGTAGAACTCTCAATAAGCAGAAGTGCAGGTAACTGAGCGTGGGTAATGAAAAACTGAAGACTGGTGAATGATTGAGGTCCAGGGGAGAAAAAAAAGCACCTGGGCTTTGACCAGCAATGGGGTGGTTTGTTTTCTTTCTCCATAAGGTGACTTTAAGGATGTTCAAGCAGCGGCAGACTCAGTCAGAACAGATTCCAGTGGGGTACCAGTACCTGGCCGAGGTCTGCAAGCCGTACAAAGCAGGCGAGAAATACCTGGAATTCATTCAGGCTCTGCAGAAAAAAGACATTCACATGGAAGTGTTTGAATTCGAGCCACTCGCTTCCGGAGGGCAGAGGTAAAAAAAAAAAAAAAAAAAAAAGAAAGAAAAAAGAAAAAAATTGAAAAACCTACATCCTAGCTGGAAGGTCAAAGCTATATAGTGCACAGGACAGAAAAAGTGTTTAACACACATTTATAAAGTCGCTAGCAATGCTGCAGCGTCATAATTGCTAATTAAAACTAGCCTCAGCTGTTCAGGTCTTCTCTCTCTGCGTAGCTCCACTAATGAGGAACCTAAAGATCTAAATCTGAATTTAAATCTAAATTTTAATCTAAAGAAGCACTTGGGTCCTTCTGCTGAGCACAGGACTAAGACTAGTGAAAGGAGGGCAGCAGTTTTGTACCACATCCCTTCAGTTATTTCTATCATTTCCCAAAGATTCAGATGGCTCTTTTCTCACACGGGTGCTGTCCAATTTCTAAATTTTTTCTGTGGATAGAAAAGGTGAAATTATATTGAGCATATGTTTTCCTAGTTTTGCGCAAGAGTTTATTGTAGTCTCCTTGAAAACTCAGCTGACACCTGTAAACTGCCTGAACCAGATGCTTTGCCTCAGGCACCCCTAAGGCACCTCCGTGATGCAATATTGTCTGTTAGTCTTCACTGCTGAAAAACTGTTGCAACCCCTTCTCAGGTCCCCTCCCAGCAGCAAAAAGAAGATGGCATTGCATTACACAGGCCCCTCTTCCGCAGCAAAGGACGCGAGCACACCGGAAGACACGTCCAGAAAGCACTTCTCCACAAATGGTGAACAGAGTAGGTTGAATTTAATAAAGACAACATGATTTTCTCTTGAGCCACCGCAGTTTAAATTAAATTAGTAGCCCAAGAAGTGGGAGAGGTCCCAGGTTCTTAGGGCAGTGCTTAAGGCTTAGCTCAGGCTGGGAGAAAATATTGGCAAGTATTTATGGGTTTTCTCGGGAGCTTATTCTGGACTTGAACCCCGTGTTGAAGTATCCCCAGGCTCCTCGGGATGGTCTGTCACCTTATCCACCTTCCGCAGGTGCAAATAAATCCCTCTGCAGCGACACGGAAAGCCTCGGCGGGAGTTGTGAATCCCGGTCCCTGGATTCTCCCAATTCTAGCCCAGGTGAGAGCTGCAGAAATTCTTGCCTAATATTGCCCAAACCCTTCAAGTGGGAACAAAGTCTACAGCGCCGCACTTTACGCATCATGAGGACGAGAACAGCTGTTTATATTTTATCTCTTCTCAAGGAAACTCTAACAGGAAATTGCTGAAAGCACCATCCACCGGCACCATGTCCTCTTCAGATGATTTTGAGGAGAGAGATTCCTTGCAAACTTTTGAAAATGGTGAGCCACGCACGTATTTGACTCGCTAGGTGGAAACCGTGCTTCCGTATCGGTTCCTTTTCACGCTTTAATGCTGTTTCCGCAGAAAACGGCACATCCCAGCAGCAGTTTAAGAACATCCTCCTCTCCAGCGCAGCGCAGACCCACCGGCTCCGGAAGCTGCGGGGACCGTGCAAGTGCAGGGAGTGCGACACCTTCATGGTCAGCGGCTTCGAGTGCGAGGAGGTGAGGGCTAGAAGATGTCATTGCAGATGCCTTGCGCGGAAGCCTGAGGTGACCATCGCCTTGCTGAAGGTCTGGGGGAAGGGGGGACCCCTCCTTCTTCATCTTCATCACACGAGGTGTATTTTTCTGTCCTTGAGTAAGCCGCCAGCGGCCACTTGCCTGACACAACCCTTTTGGGGTTAGTGGGACTTTTGTGGTTGAGGGAACGGGAGAAGTTCCCCAAGTTCAGCCTCTGCAGTGCTGGGCCACATCCAGACTATAACTTGGGTCGGTTCTGCCGTTTCAGTGCTACCTGGCCTGCCACAAGAAGTGTCTCGAGAGCCTGCTCATCACCTGCGGCCACAAGAAGTTGCCCAACCGAGTACCTCTTTTCGGCATTGACTTCATGCAGGTTCCTCGAGACTTCCCAGAGGAAGTTCCCTTCCTAGTGGTGAAATGCACCTCGGAAATCGAAGCTCGGGCCCTCGGGGTGCAGGTGAGTAGCGGGTTTTTCTTGCTTTGATCTTCTCTTCTCCGTGTCCCAAACTCCTGACCTCTCCCCCTCTGAACCACACAGGGGATCTATCGGATAAGTGGATCCAAAGCCCGGGTAGAGAAGCTGTGCCAGGCGTTCGAGAACGGCCGGAGCCTGGTGGAGCTCTCTGAGCACTCCCCCCACGACATCACCGGGGTCCTCAAGCATTTCCTGAAGGAAGTGGGTACCAAATCCCTGCCGGGAGGGCCAGGCTCAGCCTACCACATTCCTCGGTGCCAGACCAGCAGGGTGAAGTAACTCGTTGTTTTCCTCCCCTCTCGCTCCAGCTTTCGGCACCGGTGCTGCTGTCCCAGCTCTATAACGACCTCATTGCGCTTGCCAAAGATTTGCAAAAACCTGGGGAAGAAAAGTTGGACTGCGCTGGCTTCCCTGCCGATCCCATCCAGAGCATGAAGGACTTGCTGGGCAAATTGCCTGGAAGCAACTACAACACCCTGCGGCACCTTATTGCACACTTGTACAGGTGAGGAGCGTGCTGGTTAGCGTCAGGCCCGACCCCAGGAGGTCCCTGTCGAGACCTCGCTGTCAGAGGAGCGGCCAGCCCAGCGCCAAACGCGTACGAGAAGAGTGTCTGGGCTTCCTCGACCTGGGAGAGCCGAGCAGGCAGTTGAGGAAGGTAAAAAAAAAAAAAACTCATTCATGGAAAGGACCATCTTCCAGCAATTAAGAGAAAGTCTTAACGATCGAGGAGGAGCAGAAGGTCCTTACTGATAGCACTTCATAAAGTGCAGAGCAGGAGGTTGAGGCATAACTTGAATCAAGCCCTCTTTCACCCAGCTCTGAAGGCAGGTCACAAGAAACTGCCACCCTCATCGGGGCTGCACCTCCCAGAGCCAGGCAACTTCGGAGATTTCTTTTCTCCGGAGTTTCTCTGCACAGCTCAGAGCTCTCTTCCCTGTAAAAGATGAGGTTTCTCTCTCTACTAGGAAACGGGGGGTTTGGTGCACTCCATGGGTGTGCTCAGTGCATTTGGGTTGTGAGCTGGGAAGCCCCTAACGGTCCTGTTTCCCTTCCCCAGGGTGGCAGAGAAATACGAAGAGAACAAGATGTCCCCAAACAACCTGGGCATAGTATTTGGGCCAACTCTGATCCGGCCAGGCTCAGGGAGCGACGTCTCGATGTCGTGCCTTGTTGACTCTGGGTATCAAGCCCAGATTGTGGAGTTTCTCATTCAGAACTACGAAAGGGTGTTTGGGATGGATGACCTGCCTTCATCCTTATCCCTTGGATGTGAAAACCCTTCGCAAGAAGCATCGACAGAAAAGGATGAAGGACCTCAGAGCCCAAACACAGTCCAGAATATAACTCTAGAGGTAGAGCTCCCAGACACCGAGCTGGGCTTACTGACCCTGCTGTAGAGACTGACCCTAGTGATTAAAGAGAACTTTTTTCACAGATAACAAACCGTTTCCTATCAGAGGGTTATTCCAGGAGGAAGGAGCAGGGAGCCTGTTGCATATGGAGTGGGAGAAACAGAAAAAATTATAAGCTACAGATCACTCAGCAGCTTCTCAGACCAATGCGGATGGTGGCTTTGCTCCATGTTTTAGATTCCAGTCATTCTGAAAAATTGTGGGGTTCTCTATGCTAAATTGCTTGGGACACTGCTGTTCCTGTGAACAGCTCTACAACTTTGGAAGCAGCTACAGGCACTTACGACGCAGCAGATCCCCTGGTACAGCCCCACAGGGCTCTGCTGCATCCCGGAGCAGAGACCATGGGCCCTGTTTTTTCCCCGCCCTGCTACTGAGTGTTCTGCATTTTTCCCAAGCTCCACGGCTCTTTCCTCACAATATTTCACATCCCATTTCACAGCACTTTAAGAACAAAAACGGGCATAGCATCCCTGAGCTGAGACTTTTTTTTTTTTTTCCTCCTTTTCACAGCTGGTTTGATGAGCATGAAAGAAGAAATTACTTTTCTAACATTAAGCCCGATGGAGTAGCATCCAGGTTCGGGCATTCTCTGCCTCCTGCCTTTGAGTCATTGGTGCTCATGTGCAAGACTGAGCGTCTGCAACCACCCTATCCATGTCTGACACGCAGCAATGCTGCTCTTTCCACAGGTCCAGCTGACTGAGGAAGCAGAAGTTAGAATAACTAATTACAGTTGAAATAAAATCACCAGGGTAGACACAACTCACCTGTGTGCAGAAATCCTACAGGATTAATAAACCTTCACAGAAAGCACTTAGAGATATACACAACTATTGCCTTTGACTGTTTTCAAAGCCATTTTTACCTACTTGTACAGCATGACTGAATTCTACAGAAAGTGTCACAAACCCTTGAAAAGGGGACTTGCTTTAAGGGCACTCTCATTTTGCCATTAATCAAACTGACCTCGGAAGCCCCTGCCCAGGTCACCTTGCGCAAACTCATGCTCTTCCCACACCAGCCGTGGCTCTCAGGCACTCCTCTGTCCTTCACTCATCCTTTCATTTGCATTTGAACATAATTACTGTGCTCCAATTAACAGCTTGGTTTCTGATGTTTCCCCTTTTTGTTCTGCAATGGGCTGCCTCAGTGTCCCAGCACGCTGCTGCTCCGCAGAAAGCAGCGGCCGCCTTCTGGAGTTGGCAGGCTTTGAACCATAATTTTTTCTCGTGGCCCTGCTCAGGGACCTTCTGCAAAGCTCCTTCCTTACTCCAGGCGTTACAGATAATCTGAGAGAAATCAAGGCCTTTTCAGCCCAAGCAGCTGCCTTCATTCACTTGGCTCTGACAGCAGTTGGGGTGAGGTGGGAGCTGACAGGATCTTCATGTCAAAAGACAGTCCTGTATAAACACTCATGGCTTTTTCCAACAGAATTTCTCCTCCGAGCATGGTTTAAGTGTGGACTGTGTCTCTGATCCCTCGTCTCCCAGGGAAGCCATCAATGAGCTGACTCTGGAGGGAGCCCACAGTCCGTTAAGCGCGGATGCCCTAGGTAAATGAAGTGGTGCTCACGACGCTGTTACGGGTTGTCTCGTACCGCATTTGTGGGTTTTCACCCCGCCTGCCCGCCCCTACGTTACACAGCACAGAACACATAGCTGGGGCCTCGCTGCTCAGTCTTTGTGCAGGTAACCTATCGCAGAGCGACCGCCACGCAGCTCGCGGGAAATCACAGGCACATTTTCTGCCGTCCAAGATGGGCTTTTCCCCGCTGCTGCCTCAGCTCTTGAGCCCACAGTCACCTGCCAGCTCTCCCAGCTTAAAGCTGTCCTTAATGAGTTAAAGAATATGAACCTGATTCCTATCTTATACCTCTTTCAAATGCATATCTTGCCATTGTGCCAGATTAAGGAAGCTGCTAGAGGGAGGTGCTTTACCCTGTTAATGCAGGAGGGATTCTGGTGTCCTTTCTAACAGGAAAAATAAGTCATCAGCCAAAATTGTTTGTCTTAGTCACCTTGTCTCACTGTTCTAAGATAACTGTTTAATTTTTTATTCAGAGATGAATACAAGTATTGGCTCTGAGCTGGACGACCTGGAGGACTCTGTGCAGGAAAAGGCAGACAGTGATTCAGACGCAGTTTTAGGGACCCAGCCCAGATGCCATTTCAGCCGACAACCTGTAAAATATATTCGAACACAGGCGAAGACGAAGCCGGTCATTCCCAAATCTTCCAATTTGCCCTTGAGGACCGCCACATTAGCCAACGTGGCAACGGAGTCTGCTGCAGAAGGCAACCCTACCAACAGCAGCTCCACGACAAAGGACATCCCGGAGGAGAGCACTCGGAGCAGGAACAGCTCGGCCGACACAGGCACACTCAAGCACCGCTCCGGGGGGAGACAGCAGCTCAAGCATTTTGAGATCACGCAGGAAACCGCCAGGATTGTCTTAAAGTTTAAAGCTGATGACACTTGTGTGTCCCCTGAGCCTTCTCTGGAGAGCGCGGGATCAACTGAGAAAGCAGAGGACGTCAACCCAGGGACATATCTATAGGAAAAACCTGAAGTGTAACAGAGAATAGAAATGGAAAGGGAGAGGGGACTGAAATCCCACACCTGCTGGAAAGATGTAGTCAGGAAGGAGGCAACTGAAGCGTAGGAACAGAAAGCATTCTCAAATGGTCATTTTCTGGCAGCTGCAGCAAGCGTTGATTTTTGCCATTTTTATTTCACAGCATTTTAAGAGTAACTCACTTTTTGAGTGTACTGGAGGAAGGTAAACGGGCAAAGCTCACATACTCTGGATCCTTCTGTTGCTGGAGCTTCAAGTTGTGAGCACAAAGCCATTCTGCAAAGGGAACAGACACGGCCGCACTCTGAGCCAGACCCCATTTCTCCAAAACATTAATTCGAGTCCTCTCAAAGCACACTGAGCTTCTGCAATACTTCCACGAGAAGCTGCTGCTGGCGTGATCGTGGCAAAGCCCTGAACCCCCAGCAGAAAAGATTTTTTGGGTCTAAGACCAGGTTGTTCTGAGTTGCTGGGTCTCCACCTCACCTGCCCGAGCTCCTCTCCGCTTCCCTGCGGTGGATTTTCTGTCCAAATTTTAACATGAGGACAGGGAGAATTCTGTCCTGTAGTGCCATCTCGTGACGCAGGCATGGGGAAGACAGGCTTCCTGTCCTGCTCACTCCCAGGGAGAGCTTTGCATTCTAGGATGGGAAGCGCTACAGATTTCCTTGGTGTTTAGTTGTGTATAGAGCATGAAATTCAGACGACAACATAAAAGCCTCGGCACAGGGGCACATTTCAGCAGTTACCATCTGCTGCAAAGGCACTGGGAGATGTACAAGCCACCAGAGCTAAAGGAAAACATTACACTTTCTCCAAGCAGCTCAGGAGGTTAAGCAATCTACTTTACAAATTTCTTTCATCTCACCAACAGACTACGTTTTCATCCTGTTTCTTAACAAGGCTGTAAAAGAAATGCTAAGGTTCTAGTCTTAGTATTTGTACAGTTCAGGCTAAAGAGAACTTGCATCTCTGGAGCAATGTATATTTGTTAATACAGTGCTTTGAATTCTTGAATACTAAATTATCTTTTACTGTATAACTTCTGTAATAAATTACTGGGTGGTTTATTATATGCTTATCCTGTATTTGTTAAACGTGAATAGGGAAGCCTTAAGTAAACACTTACTGGACTATTATTAACAGTGCCAAGTGTACTTGGGTCTCTACAACAAAGGCAACGCTTGCCCACAAGAATTCATAATTTGAGGAACCAGCAGAACTAGAATCATATCGCTGGTAAAACCCCTAGTTTCCTCTTCCTGCTGCTCACTTATACCAGAGGTTCATTCTACGCAGGAGAAGTGTTAGGGGCTTGTACAGCACAGCGGCTGCCCTCCACCTCCGCTCCTCCTTCCAGCAGCCCAGTACACACAGAAATGCAGTTAGAGAAAACACACTCGCTCTTACCTGGCGCCTCCTCACCGCTTGCTGCTTTGCAGAGCTGGTCATTTGTTGGGGGTAGGAGCTGCCCAAAGCAACGCGTCCAGCCACGCGGCTGCCAGGTCCCGCTCACAGGGGGAGAGCTTGGCTGCAGAGTCCAAGATGTTTCTCCTTCTGCTTGGGATGGGGAATCTTCTGCCATGCAGCCAGAGCTCACGTGGTTTGGTTTGGTTTGGAAACCCAGATGCTGAATTCTAGAAGAACTTTGGCAGCGAGGGCAGCATCGCTTCCTCAGTTCCTCCCACCCCCCTTGAGGCTGCACCTCCACTCCAAAGAACAGACTCAGTTATATTTATGTACAGCAAGGGACAGCAACAGTCCTGGGAAGCATGAACAAGGAACAACCTCATCTCCCAACTCAAAATAGGAGCAGAGATCCTACAAATACCTCATTTTTACAACAACACTGTATGCAAGTACCTGTCTGACCCTCCGACACGGAGCTACACCACACAGGAGATCAGCACTCCCTGAGGAATTAATATCTAAAGCCACAGCAACCCTCTCCAGATACTTTTTATCAGACAACCAACCAATAAACCAATTTCTTACTTGAAACTTTTTTTTTATTATTTATTTTTTTTTAAATCAGCCAATGTGAATTCAGAGCACAAAGCAACCAGCTCACCTCAGCCAGTCAACGTGCTTCTAAGCATCGATCGCTCCTCTTTAAGTAAATAAAAAGCCCCAGGTGTTCACAAACATGGATCTCAGCTGGGCTGCATACACTGGACTCCCAGTTGAATTAGGGAAATTCAAACACCTGGTAATTTTAGGCAGGGACCAAGAGATTCCTTTTTCTTGGTGAAACCAGAGTTTGTAATTTGCTAATCACTAAGTGTTTAATTGTGACCCAGCTAGTGACAAATTCTGCCCCAAATTTCCTGCCATCAGAAAAAAGGAGCTCTTTAGTTTACCTTTATCCCTCTAAATAAAATCAAACCAAATAGACCTGCAGGTATCAGGAGTCTTGAAGGGCAAACTTGGCAGGTTTTTCCAGCAGTGACTGCTGAGGGATTACCTTTAGAGCGTTCTAACAAAGCAAGGTAGAGCAAGGTAAAAAACATTACTTTTTTTTTTTTTTTTTTGTAAGGAGCACAAGGCTTTGGTCCAATTCTTGATCCCATCCTTCTCTTTTTCTTTTTTTTTTCCCCCTCACCATTTAAACTTTTGTGCTGTTGCTTCTTATTATCTAATTGGAGAAGCTAACCAGAGATTCAAACACACCTGTCAGGTATTTCTTAAAATTATGCATTAATGAGAGTCTTGGCAGAAAAAAAAAAAAAAAAAAAAGACAGTTCAGGCCATTTCTTATCTGGAAACCAGCTTCATTCACAGGTGTTTCCTTTTGAACCATTAGCACCTCTTCATTGCTCACCTTTGACCCAGCATCCCTAGAGTATGAAGGTGGGGACTAGGGGTCTGCTGATAGCCTGGGGCTTTGGTGGGGGAAGAGGAGAGTTTTAGTTTTGTTTTCCCCCAAGTAGGCTCTTTCTGGGAGTTTTTATGCTTTGTAGGCTCCATCCTCTAAGGGTAAGAAGCACTCAGTCATTAGGCTGTGCCTCTCAAAACGTGAAATGTCCTGGAGTCTTTGGTATCTGTTAAGACTTAGCCCCAGTGCTGTGTAGCATCCCAAGCAGCTGGTTTCGGGGTTAGGGCTCCTTTGTTGGTCCTCTGCTGCCTGCTTTGAGAGGAGCCCTTGGGATGCACGTGTTCCCAGCAAGCCCAGTTCCTGCGCGGTGTGGCTGCACCTGTACCTGTAGAGCATGCTGAGTGCAAGGAGACGAGCTGCTCCCGAGAGTTGCTGGGAGCAGGTAGGGAAGGCCCTTCCCTGAGCCGCGGAGGGGCCAGCATGAGAAGGTTTTTATAAAATGGGAATGGCTGTTTTCCTGCGGCCAGCGCGGGCGCAACTTGGGCTGGTATTTGGGTGGGAGGTTTCATTCCTCAGGAGCCAGCGGCATTAACGTTGCCCTCGTGCAGGGTGCTTCCTTGCTCAGTTATTGCTGAAGAGCAGCGTAGGCCGTTATGTTCTGCCTCGCTGCTCTGGCAGTTGCCAGTAGGTACCAGATCTACTTTTATTTCTCCTTCTAAGCTCTTTTGTTGTCTCGCTCTATAGCGGGTGGTTTAGCAGCAGGAGGAGCTGTGCATGTTGCTGTTTAGTGGCAAGTGAAATTATTCTTCTCTAGACCTTAGACATTAACACATCTGGAATAGTGTGGTGTATAAAATAAGTCAGTGATATTACATTCTTGTTTTATTTTACTTTGAAAGCTGTCTTCCAACAGTCAATTAGCAGATCAGATGAGGTAGTGAAAAGTGAGCTGCTCTGCATGTCTTGCTGGGAGTTCATGCTGCTGCGGACAAACAGCTTTTGTTTTCTTCTTCTCTTTCCCTCCTGCCCCAGTATGCTTTGTGATATTCTTGGGTTTATGAATGTAGAGAATAATGGTACCTGTTGCATATGGGAGAGCAAGTAAAACAGAGATATGAATTTTTTTTTTTTTTTTTCAATCAGCCAAAGCTCCCACCTCTGAAATTCAGAAAGCGCTTTGCTTGGGGAATTTTTGCTAAAGATGCTGCTTACAATGTGCTTCCATCCTTTCACCGGTGTCACGGTGCAGGCACGCCCTGAGGAGCCCTACACCTCGGGGCACGCAAGAAAAGCCCATGCAAAGGAAGGTCTGGAATGAGCTAAATCACATATGTATATCCACCCATCCAGGCCCACAGCTTGTGGCTGGAATCCTTTCAGGGCACTGGCTGCTCTCCTCTATCATTTACTTCAAAAAAAAAAAGCTGTATAGAGCTGTAATTCAAGCTTTGCTTAGGCAGCGAGTTTCAGATACTTGGCATCCAGGGCCTTGGAGAACAGTCAGTTTTGTAGGTATCTTATAAATGGTTTTCAAGGGAATTGTATTTTTCAGTATAAATCTGTTTAAGAAATGAACGTGTAGACTTCAAGAATGACTTAGCTCTTGCTACTTCTAAGAAAAATACTCCTTTAATTTTCTTGTCGCTTTGCAACAGAAGGCGGCATCTGAAATAATTCATTTTTTCCACTAGAAAAGCGCCTCAGAGCTTAAGGCTTTAGGAAGTTAGTAAAACATCACCCAAAATGATCAGAAGTTCCGCAATTAAGCAAACCGAAGTAGAAAAGACTGTTTCATTTGTAATGGAACCCTTGAAGGGTATGGGCCGAGCTGTGGCCTCAACATATCAAAATCGTTAGAGCTGCCTCATGCTTCCCAATAGCAAAGGGCAAAGAGAGCCCAGGCGGTGCCGGCGAGGAAACCCAGATGGCTTTGGCTGCTGAGCAGGCAGCTGGGTCTGCCGAGGAGGGACCTTGGCTTAGGCCGGGGCTGCAGGGCCGAGGCGGAACCCGCAAGGTTTGCTGCGAGCTGTCGCTTGAACGCGTTCAAGGTCTGTGAAGGAAGGGTCGTGCTGGACATCCCTTCTGCTTGTTTAAAGTAGGGGGCTGTAGTTTTTCCCCCCACCATGAGCTCGCTCTTGGGGGAGCTGGTTCTTGAGAAAAATGGTGGGCTTGCTAACGTGATTCAGTCCGTTGGTGTAGTTGTGGCCATAACGAAACGTCCCTGGAGTGAGCCAAGATCTTCACCTAATCGGGGGGGGGAAAAGCTGTTGCAGAGAATTTTGCGTGACCAAGGGCGCCCCGAAGGCTGACTCTCCGGAGGAAGTTGCTGGGAGTAGCTGTGTGTCAGCCCCTGATGCTCCTGTTCGAGATAAAGCTGCAGTTGTGCTGCATCTGCTTATTCTGTAGCTGGAGGCTTTTCTCAATTGGTTTTGTTTTTTCTTTCTAGACTTAAGCAGAAAGGCATGTTAAATGCTTTTTATGACTCTCCAGCCATAAGCTGCAGGCATCTGACATTAAACCGAATGGAGACACGGGGGAAGTGGGGTTTCAGAAATAATCCCTGTAAAAGCAGAGGCTGAGGCACGCGGAGCTTGAGTGCCTGTAAAGTTCCCTGACTTTCCAGCGAGTGCCAACTAAACAGGGAGACTTCACGGTGCTGGGTGCCAGCCAAGATCAGAGGAGTTCAGAGCGAGGCAGCGTGCGGCCGCCTCGCAAACGGAGCCCGAGCCCAGGGCTGCCTGCATGTGGTTCACAGGAAGGGAATTTCCACCCAGTTTTGTTTTTATTGACAATAGTGCGAAGTGCCAGATGAAATTATCTTTGGGTGAAGAGGAGGCTGAGTCCTCCTTCATAAACACAGCGTCCCCACTTGATTTTAACCTCACTGTGGCTTCTAATAATGTGACATCATTCAGGGGCCAAGCTATTCTTTCTCTGAACTGCTGCTTCTGCCTTCAGCATTGCTTGTCTCCGTGTAGGATAATCTCCTTCTTCCTGTGTGAATTAGGAGGAGCAGCAGCAGAGGGGCCCCTAGACCATCCCGACTCCAAACAAAACACCACTGCAAATAACCCTCTCTTCCCTCCCCTCCTCTGTTTTCTCTCCACTGCTGCAGAACAAATGTTTTCATCTTGGAGAGTAACTGTGCAGAAGGAAGTCAGCCCACCAAAATCCATTTCCAGGGTAGTTACCTGGGGAAGGTAAGAGTGTTGTTTTGTCAGGACCCGGATGCATTTAAGGGAGTATCCTGGCTTTTCTTTCTCAGCTGTTTTTCCATCTTGTCTAACAAGGCAAAGGTGATGAGAGCCAATGTGATGCTTTGCTTCCGTGGTCTCCCCACTTCAATTGAAGGTGTTGCCTACAATATGGAAATGCTTTAATTCCAAGTGTCCAAATGCAGACAGACAAACCTAGGGAAGGCGAAAGGGGAGAGGAATTTTTCAGGTTCCTTGTGATTTGTTCTGGAGCAAATGATTGTACATGGTTGCTAGTTTGTTGGAGGAAAAGAAAATGCCTCTTGTAGACAAGGCTGCAGCTGTCATGGATTTCTTCCTTACCGCTTTGTTGAAAAGTGTTCTTTGATGCGGCAGGCTTACAAACAACAGCCCTGCTCCACCTCAGAGTTGGCTGCATTTCAGCAGCAGTGGGTGTTATGAAATTCCTGCATTTTTAACACTGATGTATATGTGCTTTCCATCGAAAGATCTGGCTGTTAGCTGAAGTTGTAAGAACAGTGTTGTTGTTTTGCTGTACTCGAGGGAGCGCTCCTCACTGAGGGTTTGGGAATCGCTGGGCCAGTTGGGACTTGGGAAGCATTAATTCGAGCAACTGGTTCTCTGCAGAGATCTGCTGGGGGGAAGACGATGACATGACTCCTTCCAGAGGGTTTTTAACATTCCTGGGATTCCAGGAGAGGGGTCTCAGGAAAAAAAAAAAAAAAAAACAACCTTCAGATTGTCATCTGGAAGAACAGTCACAGCTATGAGGCTTAAAGAAAATATTGGCTTTAGGCTTGTTTGAAAATGCAAAATCTACTAAAACAATTAACTTCACTTTGAAAAATAGAAGTGTAATAAAGGGGAGGCAAACATCTGTTGTCTTTGGAAATGTTTCTCTACCAGTTCTCTGCTGGGCACCAGAATGTGATCAGATCTGCTGGCTGCGTGAGGATCAGGTTACTGGGCCACTCTGCTTGAGCAGCTTTTCTGCTTGGGGGGGGACAACACTGCACAACACCCCGTGAGCCCCTTCCGAACTGGTGGAAACAGGAAAACAGAGTGATTGGAGGGGAAGGGGGGAGACAGAGGGGCTGGACACCGTGAGTATCTGGTCTCCTTGGTCTTGCCTGTGTTCAGGGTCTGTTACTCAGTCCCAGAAATATCCCTGTTGGAAGATACGAGCAATGTCTGTAAGAAATCACTGCACAGTTGTGAAAGCTGATGTGAGGTTTTCAGGTGCAATGATTTTTGGTTTTGTACCCTGAAAGGGTGTGCTGGGCCCGGACTCGTATGGCTAGAGAGAAGAACTAAATGGGTCTTGGTTCCTTTGAATAGCCTCAAAACCTGAGAATATACAGACTCCTAAACTTCTGTTATGCAGAGAGGTAAAGTTTGTTTTTCTTAGACAAAGGAACTAGAAAAATTGCTGTTAAGGTCAGGACTTGGAAACCTGAAATACTTTCACCTCCACGTGCAAAGCAGGGACCATTTGTGAGGGGTTTACATGAGCCCCGGCCTGATCCGGTCTGACATTCCTTGTATCCCCATTCGTCTCCACTCTGCGGTGTGGAGACCCAGGTGCAAAAGTGCTTCTGACCCTTTGTCAGCCCTGGGTGCTCGGAGCTTGCTGGGTGGGTCTGACGTCTGTCCCCAGCTATTGTGATGGACTGTTGACACTTCAGCTGAAACCAGTTATGCTGGGTTGTTTCCCCAATTGCTCTGGGTGTTCCTTTATGAAACCATGGCCTCTAAAGCACTCGCTGAGTGCTACTTTGAAAACCTTAAAGGAAAGAATAAATCACAAGTATTTTTAGACTGCTGCCATCCCAAACTGCAGAGCACGTGTGTGGCTTTATAACTGTCCGAAGCCAATCGAAGCGGGTGCTGCTGCCAAATGGCAGCTCTGACCCGGGTTTGGTGTGGAGCTGGATCCCTGACTTCAGCTGGTTGCTGGCAGCGCAAGTGGGCTGGGGAAACGGGGGGGTGTGCTGTTTTATTGCAGCTTGGACTTGGGTCTCTTTGGTCTTAAACTAACAGTGTGACCAAAAGGATAATAAATGCCTCATGGGGAGGTGAAGGATCTGCCCTGTGTCACTTGAATAAGATGCTTCAAATTTGAAATTGACTTCTTGCACCTATAATATTGCTGTAAATCTGTCTAGTTGCAGTAAGGACTTCGGGCTCTGTTAGGACTGGACTTCTCCATAACTTAGTAGCTCTCTGCTGTGCTAAAGCAAGCTTGTTAAAAAATATTTATGTGGGGGTTTTTTTGTTTTTTTTTTTTTTTTTTTGTTCCCAGGAAAAGACTCGGGGATGCCTGTTAGTGCAACTTTTTACTGCTTTTAAAAATGCATACGGAAATCTTGTGAAAGGCCCCTGTGCCTTGAGTGGCATCATCAGTCAGAAGGAGCAGAATTTGTAAGCAGGTGGCAATGATAGGCTCTTTCTGAGCTGTTGTAGCCCTCGAGGTTTCTGGTGTGATTTTTGGCCTTTGGAGGCTGCAGGACGTGGGGGTGGAGTTTAGGGAGCCTGGTGCAATTTTCAGTTTTTGCAGGACTCGGTAGTTGCCCCTCTTGTCTTTCAGCCTGTCCTACTCATCCATCTTTTCTTCTGCCCGTGACACTACTGCTCTGCTTCCACTTACTGGCTGCCCTGCTCTGTTAATGTGTCCTTGGATCTTTGGCCCTATCTGTTTCCCCTTTGTGTTGGGCTCTTTGTAAATCCCCTGCCTATTTTACATAACATTACTGGGCTCTGCCAAGCACTAGGTGTATCTGACTGACGGCAGATTAGGGTTGAGTTTGGTGATAACATTGTTCCTTGGGGAACCGCTGATGGTAGGAGGAGGGCGGGAGAGTAGGAAATTGGAGTCGAATGGAAATTGCTGGGGCCTCTGCAAGAGCAGCAGGCATAAATCAAAATGAATGGATGTTGTAAATCCGGTAGTTTTTTCCTTCATAATTTATACAGCTATGGCTTGTTAGCACTGAGTGTGCTGTTGGTATTTGTACAGTATTTAGCAGGTAAAATGATCTCAGACGTGTCAAGGACTAGCTAGACTGACAGATCTTAAATGTGAGCTCTTTTTCTAGCAGTGACACATTTTTACCAAGTTAGAGCAGGACAATTCTTTCTAGTCTGCCTCAGTTTCCCTTTTGTCTCACAACATCTCCTTCTCCCCCATTTCAGGGTTTCTTGTGTTGCACTAGGCAAGTGTGGCGGCTGTAGTGGATGTGGGGGGCCGGATCCTGATCTGACAGCCCACTTGAGGTGTGGGTGCTGTAGTTGTAGGCAAGGAAAACAGCCTTCTGGTGCCAAGGCAAGACAGCTCCTCCACCTCGAGATCAGAGCCGGTCATTTGGAAGGTCCGCTCTCCTCCTGCAGTGGGGCAAAGCCTCTGGGGCAGCAGATAAGCCCAAGCAAAGCCTCACCACGGGGCAAACCAGTGCGGCAGGAGCACTGGGAGCAGAGGGTGCCGGTTCCCACAGAGCAGCACCTTGCTGGCGGGAGCGGTCCCCGAGGGTGATGCTGGCAGATCGGAGCTGACTCGTTCCAGCCAGAACCGGAGATGCTCGGAAAGTGGCTTTGGCCTCCGTGAAGGCGGCAAGGACTCGGATTACAGCTCCTGGGGCTCCTGGAAGGACCCGCCTAGGGGAGGACCCAAGGAGGGACGGGCTCATCAGAGCTCTTGCAAACTTGCCTCCCAGGAGCCAGTGTTTCGGAGCGGTCCGTGATGGATTCTGGGGCTGTAGTGCTTGTCTGAAACTTTCCTGTGAAGCACTTGGCTTTTTTTACTTCTTTTTTTTTTTTTGGGGGGGTGGGGGAAGGAGGGGCTTGCTTGGAAAGCACCTCTGCCCTCCAGAGATGGGGATCCCCTCGCTGGATAGCTGCCCTGGTTTTCTGTGGTGGGGAGACCGATGCTGAATGTCAGGTTTGGATGCGGTGGTTGTGCTTTCAGGTAAGAACACTCTTCTTTGGCGTAAGAGCTTGTACTGTTTATGGCTTAAAAATATAGCAGTGGCTTGAATGCTTGGCCATGTAAATCCGTGTGCAGTGGACATGGGTAAACCAGGTTGGATTTGAGTCCATGTGAGCCTTTATAGAGCCATTGTTCTCTCTTGATTGACGCTGATTGCGGTTATTAGTGGGAGCGTAAATTCAGCCATTCATCCCTGTTCACTTCCACACTACGCTGGCTGTCGGTTTGTTAACAAGTGTTGAATGTCTTCCCAGACCTCAAGGAGCTGACTAGCATTTTCCACTTTTGCAAGCAAGAGGAAATGGAGAAGGGAGGACACTTACACCTTTACTTTCTGTGTTAAAGGACTCTGAACTTGCTGTGAACCTGGGGCGGTAATTAACGGAGTAAGAAGGGAGAGAGCGTATGCTTACGGATCACGCTGGTGAGAAAAGGCTCATTCTGCGCTCATTTTGTGTGGTGGCTCCTACCAAACTGCAAGAGCTGCACTCGATTTTAAGGGGGAGAGACTTGGGCAGAGTTTGAGGTAGCGTGATTAGAGAAGAGGCTGTGTTTGTGTATTGCTCAAGGAAAGGGGCTGCTGAATTGTTGCAGCATGTAACTAGAGTCTTGTTTCACCAAGTAAACAATGCTGGTAAGGAAAAATCTTGTAAGATCCTGCTGAGGAGTGTAAGGCCATGGAAGGGGGTTGCTCGGACACTGAACAATAGGCTCATCCAGCTCCTTTGTGCATCATGGCACCAGCCTGACTTTCTATCTGCTGGCTGCTGTGGGCAGGGTGTTTCTCTTTCCCCGGCGCTGCCTGTTAAATTCTGATTTGTGGCATCGTCTGTCCTTGATGCCAGACTCCAAGGTCAGTCTTCTAATTGCAGGGTAGCAGTGAAGTGGTGCTCGAGCTCCTGCAACCAGTCACAAGCATCAACCTGTCAGTCCCTCCTGGACCCCACCCAGCTCAGGGTATTGCAGAGATTTAGTTTAACCTGTGCACATTTTGGAGGGATTTGCAACTCTCGCTTCCCCCTGTGCGCTGAGCGGGTCTTGCCTCGAGAAGCATTTCACATGCTGCCATCAGGATTAATGCTTGAGGGACTGTTTCTCTAGATTTGAGTATTGCACATGCAGAGCACAGCTCCTTTGTGGGTTTACCCAGTTCTAATCCCCACCCCAGTAAACATACTGTTGAACCAGTACTTGTATAATGCTTTGAAAAAAGTCTGCACTTCGCCAGGAGGAAGTTTATGGGGCCTGTCATAGTTCTGGAATCTTTAATATTTGCAACAAAGTAAGATTGGTCTCCATAACTTAATGGCAATTTTCAAGATAGCCTTATCTGGATTAAATTTGGCTTGGTGTCAGCTCAAAAATTACTGATAATAAGACCTAGCACCATCAGCATATTAGTTCACTGCAGTATTTTAATGTACTTGAGAAATTAAAGCGTAGTGTGAGCTTCAGTGCCTGTTCCATCATGATATTCACTGTACCAAACCCTGATACCGTTTTAGTTTCTCTCCTTCCCTGCCCTTCTTCCCTGGGCATCCACATGTGTATTCTTAAGAAGGTCAAGTGATTCACCTAACTTCAGCAGCAATTTCCTTTTTGATTTGGGATTAAAGCTTTCAAAAATGTTTAAAGGAAACTGTTTTACATAAGAATGGCCTAGCCTTGGATGTGGTGCCTCCCCAAATACACCCTGTGAAGGTGGTGATCTTACCTGCCCGTGATTCACTAGTGGCCCGTATGTTCCTCCTGGTCCCAGGCTTGCCTCCCTTCCTCCTCCTTCCATCACTTCTCTCCCTTCAAGCCAAACCACCCTGCAGTTCCCCGCCGAGTCGCCACGGGGTATCTCTGCAGAGCCTGCTTGGCTGCTTCCATCCCCTGAGTGGCATTTGGACCACACGACCCCTGAACAGCTCTACAGCTTTGGGATCTACAACCATCCCAGGACCTGAAGGGAGAGGAAGGATGGACTTGTTACACAGTACTAGCCCACAACTCCAGCCCCTGGGGCAGGTTGATTCCTCCTCTGACTCCTTTTCCTTTTTCCCCTATTACTGTAAAAATATTTCCCTATTCAGCAGACCTTCAAGTGAATGAGGTCAGTTGCGGGGCTTCCTCGCCTCGCTGTAAAGCCAGCCGCGGGCTGATCCCGAGCCCAGTAGGCAGCGGAGATCAAAAGTTCAGCTGCAGGTATGATAGTGCTTCCCTGCGCAGCCGGCTTGTTTGCACAGCTCGGCGTGTGTGTGAGCAGAGGTGGGTGCGGTGCAGGTGATAAGCCGGCCGGCCTGCAAGGATCTCGCCTCCCTGTTACCACCAGCAGCCCTGCTGCTCCGCCGGGAGCTCCTGCTGAAGCGTCCTGGAAAACAGAGCGGTCCTGCAAAACCCTGCTGCCCAGGGAGTGCAGGAACACGCAGCTAATTAGGGCCCCTGAGCCGTGTTTTGGTTTCAGGGGTGATTAAAGTGAATTGTGAGTCAGGCGCTTTGGGTTTTCTCCCTGCCTGAAGAGAACTGCACTCCTGCTGTGTGGTCTGCGTTAAACTTTCTCTGAAATGGGGAGGATGGTTGAGCTCATGAGAGGACAGGGAGGACCAGTGACTTCATGTGCAGAGCACACCAGGGTAAGGAAAAACTGTGTCATTTTTCAGCACCTCAGTGCTGCGAGGAAGGAGGCTCCAAACTGGCTTTGCCCATCCCAGCGGGGACCGCAGCCAGCCCTGACTGGAGATTTCCAAGCTCTTGGTTAGGAAAGGAACACGAACATCTGCTGGGGGGTGTAATGATCAGGCTGCTCCTCATCCCTCTGGGTTGGTTGCGGTGCTGTATTTTCTTTCATGATTTTGTTTTTTCATGAACCAGTAACACAAGAGTCAATTACTGGGTTTAAATTCTGACTCTGAGGTAAAACATCCTTTAGCTTAACCTGCTGCTTCTTGTTTGGCTGGCTGCAGGACAGGAAGTTAGATTACCAGAGGCACACAGGCTTTGAAAATTAAGACTTAACATTATGATCCAGATAAATGGCTTGTCTGGTTTTGCTCCCATCAATGCCCGGCGAGTCAAAGAAATGCGAAAAGCCCTCCTGGAGACTTAAACATCTTTTCCTATCAAGTTCCTCCACTGAGTTCAGTGAGTTTTTGAATTCCAGCCTTGTTCCAGACCTGGAAGGGAAGAAGGGAGTTGCTTCCCTTGTTGCGCAGGTGATTTACTGGGTGGTACTCTGGGTGCTGACCCACACGCTGTCGTACAGCCAGCCCAGAAGTGCTGCAGGGCTTCCAGCTGATCTGGCTCTTCCAGAGGTCCAGCCCCGTGGCTGTATGTGCTGACTTCTCGCTGCTGTTTACTTTTCTGGGCTGAGGAGTTTTGTTTCTGCCCAGCTCTACATGCTGTTTGCCTCTTGGCAAAGTTTGGGAAGTGCTCACCTGGTCTGGAAGGATTGGCAAGTGCTGTGCTTAGAGCAGTGTTTGGAGGCAGCTGCGCATCGCACGAAGTAATAAAACTACTTTAATAAAACACTCTGGAGAGATGGGCTGTGTGCTCACTGAACCAGGAGCAGGAGTCCTGGGGACTGCAGCAGCTGCAGGCACTCATAGTCTTCATCAGTGTTGTTTAGTGACTGACTGATAAACTTTCTTTGCTGCTGCTTTGTTTTTACATTTTTGAAGCAGGGCATCTGGGACAACAAAAACAGTTTTGTCTGTCATCTCCATGATGCTGCGTGGGCTGGACAGGGAGAATTTCTTATCAGATCTGGCAAACCTTATCTCCTCCCATGAACATTCAAGGTTTTGCTGCATCCTCACTATGACTTCGAGGACAGACGAGGACTTGGCCTGAGATGTGTAGTTCTGTGTTTGAGTCCAGAAGTGGTTTCCTGTTGCTTGTGTGGTTTGTGTGTCTCAAGCTCCTCCCCGCCTCCATCTGTCAAAGGCATTATCATAAGGCTCAGCATCTCCCTGGTTTCTAATTGCGTGTGTGTGCAGGCACAAGCTAACAATCCTCTCGTCCCTCTTTAGGACAGCCGCGATGAAGCACTGTTTTTACAATGAGACTGTGGGGTTCTTCTACAACAACAGCCGCAAAGAGCTGACCACGTACTGGAGGACAAAGGATGTCCTGGTGGTGGCCCTGGGCCTGACAGTGAGTGTCATTGTGCTCCTGACCAACCTGCTGGTCCATCACTGCTATCATCATCAACCGGCGTTTCCACTACCCCATCTACTACCTGCTGGGGAACTTGGCAGCTGCTGACCTCTTTGCTGGCATCGCGTACATGTTCCTCATGTTCCACACGGGGCCCAGGACAGCAGAGCTCTCCCTGAAGACCTGGTTCATCCGTCAGAGCCTGCTGGACACCAGCTTGACAGCCTCTGTGGTGAACCTGCTGGCAATCGCCGTAGAAAGGCACCAGACTGTGTTCACTATGCAGTTACACAGCAAAATGTCCAACCAGCGTGTGATGATCCTCATCTTCTGTATTTGGGTCACGGCCCTGCTCCTGGGGCTCATCCCGTCCTACGGCTGGCACTGCCTCTGCGCCCTGGAGAAGTGTTCCAGCATGGCACCCCTCTACAGCAGGAGCTACCTGACCTTCTGGGCCATCTCCAACCTGGTCATCTTCCTGATCATGGTGGTCGTGTACACGCACATCTTCATCTATGTCAAAAGGAAGATGACACGGATGTCCAAGCACACTAGCTTCCACCCCCGCTACAGGGAGACCATGATCAGCCTTGTCAAGACGGTCACTATTATCCTAAGTAAGTCCCCTCGCTCTAGTCCATCTAAGTGATGCTTTAATCCTCCATCCTGGGTTGTGGGGGGGTGGTGAGGGACAACGGGGAGGACTGAGAAGTGACCTTCTGCTTCCCTGGTCCCCGAAGCTGCTGGGGGTGAAGGTTTGGTTTGGCTGCTGAGGAACTTGGCAGTTTCAGGCCTCTGTGTGAATTGTCTGAGCTGTAATGGGAGCAACCTGGCAGATGGGAGGCAAGCTCGCTCCTGAATCCCCTGCCCTCTGACACGGCTGCTGCTCTGGTTAGCAGAGATGAGAGGAACTTACTAATGGGAGTTGGTAATATCTAACTGCTGTAAGTGCAAGTGCTTTGGGCACAGAAGCAGCTCTTTTATCTGCTAAACTCCAGTATGCTTCCTCTGTACAAGGGTAGTGTGGAATTAAGATCTGTAATTGGGCTTTAATCAAGAAGCAGCACTTGGTGCATCCTTTAATAAAGGATGGAGAGAGGTTTGGGGCAGATATTACAAGGTGATGGGGAAAGAATGAAGGAGTCGCATCCAGATTCCTTACTGCTTACTAGAAGGAAGCACTGAACTGTTCAGATTTTTTTTTTTGAGCAGCTCAGTACTGGGTCTCAATCTATTCAGGTAAAGATACCCCTGGAAACCCTCAACTCTTAGTTCGAGCTGCTTTCCGTGAGCACGGGACCTCCGGCGGAGTGCTAACTGTCTGTCAGTCTGTCCACATCCACAGTCTGTAGTGCAAATAGGAGCAGATCAGTAACTGGAAGTGGCTGGCACTGAGACTCAGCCTCTCCAGACTATTTATTTAGATAGGTGCTGTTCTGCCCAGTGCTGTGCATCTAACAGCAGAAGCTGGTGTACGCATTGTGTTTTCAACAGCCTATCACTCCACAATGTCTTTAATCTGTTTTTTGCCCCGTGCTCTAATGGTCTAACAACCTTTCTTTAAAGTGAAATAAATCAATGCGCTCAGATCTTCCGCCAACCAGCCCGACTCTGGACTTACGGTCACAACCCCTTGCTTGCAAATCTCTCCTGATAAGCGCAGAATTTGCTCTGTCAGGGAAACCTTGTAGCTGCAAACAAAGCCTACTCCCTTGTGAACTGGCGCTGGCAGAGTGGGGCTCGGCAGGGGAGTGGAGCAGGCTGGGGGGGCTGGCAGGCTGCTTGGTGTGTCCCTGCTCGGGGGCACGCCGGCTTGCCGGGTCCTGTTGCAACTTGCGAGCATCGAAACTGGAGTTTTCTGCCTGTTCCTGCCTTTCCTGTGTTGTCGTCTTCCCGCCTCGCAATCTCTCCATCTCTGTGTGCAGCTGGGAGTTCATTTACTGCCTTGGAGCTGATCAGATGCTGCACAGGGGGTCAGCGGGGCTGAAGAATTACTTACTCCATATATTTTGTACAGTCTGCAGTGGAGAGAAAAGTTGTTTTGTTCCCCCTGGCTTCCTGAACTGTATCAGAGGATCACTCCGTGGTGTCAGCAGGACTGCTGAATTTTATGGGGCTTCGAAACAGCAGCTGGAAGAGGGTTGGCAGGATGTAGCTGCTGGCCAAGGAGGACATTGCAATTCCAGCTTGGTGCATCACCTTGTTTTGGGACATCCCTTTGCTCTTGGTGTCCCCCCTGCCTGCCTTTGTCTTCTGCCCTGGGGAGGGAAAAAGCTTGGGTCCGAGGAGGCTCAGAAGAGCTGCTGTGGTTTTGCAGGGAGTTGGGACGGGTCTCTGAGGACAGACAGAGCAGGGAGGAACCTCATGTGGAAAGCTGCGGGAGAGTGAGGAGTTCATCAGGCCTCTGGGACTCTTGTAACCCAAGAGTTTTCCCTTTCTTCTGCGGGACAGTGCTGGAGAAGCAGCAGTCAGTTCTGTCCAGATCCCTTGTGCAGGAGGGAACAAGGGAGGGGAATTGCTCAACTCGGAGGGGAAAATACCTTTCTGTTCAGACTTGGCGTACGGAAAGTTGAGCCTGCAGAGGGTTTTCTCCCTCCCTGTGCAAGCCCTGGTGTAATTCCTTCCCCACCCTCGTTCCCCAGCCTTTTGCAAACTTGGACTCTGCACAGAGGAATATTTTGCGCCTTATGCATCAGAGGGTGTAGCTGCTGGTGAGCGTGCGAGGAAGCCGAGGGTGCGGTAGGAGCTGTCTGTGTGCTGCTTCATTGCGAGGTGAGGTTGCTGCTGTGCTTGATAATCCTGCAAGTCCTGGGCATTAAGAACAGGTCTGGGAAACCAGTAATAAGTCCAAGGTACATTTGGAAACTAGTAGCAAATTTTCCCACAGACCAGTCGAGTGACATAGGGTGTGATGATGACCAAACCACAGGGCAGAGTCGTTAGTGACTGTGCTGTGTTAGATTTTATGAAGAGTTCAGACTTCTTCCTGAATACTTTAGCGTCCACTAAGCAGCAAGGAAGTCAGCTGGATTTGCAAGCAAAGGCCCAAAACTTTAGGTACCTCTTTTTGGTTTTCCCCTCTCATCTTCAGTATTCTTCTGGCTTTACTTAATGCTGCTGGGAGCCAGTCTCCAGAGAATCTGGCTTGCCTTGTAGATGCTGAAAAAAAGTTACGTTGCTAAAGAAGGAGGTCCCTTTCCTAGAGGTTTATTCAAGATAGAAGTATTGGACCTTCCTTCATGACAGACGGGAATCTATTTTGTAGATTTGCTAAATTTAAAGGGGGAAAAGCCATGTCTGCAAGTGTGGGTGGGGAAAGCTGCCTGGCCCGGATGTGGTAGCTGCTGTGCTGACTACCTGGGTGCATGATTTGCTTAAATAGAGGGTTAAGTGATGCAGTGGCCTGAAATCAGCAGGGAAGCCTCCCAGAAACCCAGGAGATCCCTCCCAAGTGATCCTTTGACTTTTCACCAGTGCTGTATTTCCCTCAATAACAGCTTTAAATCCAGCCTCTTGGTTTTGGTGCAGCTCTTCTGGCTGTTCTTTCCTGAGGGATGTTTTTCAGTACAGGGTGTAGTTGCAAAGTTCCCAGCAAGTCTTGTTCTTTCCACCCGTTCCCAGAAGACGCAGCAGGGTGCAGCTCCTGTGCTTTAAGATACAACCTCATGCATGACCTCCAGGAGCTCAGTTGGCGGGCGCTCCATTTACGTCAGCCTTAAAATCATGACTGTAAAAAGGGTTGTAGGAGCCGCAGGCACCTCCCACTTCGTCATGCAAAACAGTAATTATCCTTTTGCCAAAGAGCTTTGCAGGTGGTGGCAAGAACATAGTATCAGCCTGACTGAATCAGTGGTGGAGTCTGTCCAGCTCAGGCCTGGTGTTGGCCAGCCCATCGCTCAGCTATTTTCTGCTCAGCGTATAGTTGGGGGAGAGACTTCACTGGCCCATCCCAAGTGTTGGCCAGGACTCTTCTAAACTCACACTGGTAGCAAAAGCCCCCATAAACTGTATGGATAGTAGAGAGATTATTTCATTCAAGATGTAGCACTCCTGGACTCTTCCCAAATTTTATGGCCTGTTCCTCTTTTTGGAGACAGTGGGGTGTAAATAGGAAATAGGAGCACTTGATTTCACTCTGTAGATGCAACGACGGGGATGAGGGGAGGTAAGTGAAAGTACTTGGAAGTGTTGTTCTGAGTGAACTGTCTGGGGGGAAGCTGGGGAAGCCATTACCTCAATTTTTAGTATTTGTTGGTCGAGTTCTTGGTCATCTTCCAAAGCAAAAATAAAGTTAAACTAGGTTCCCCCCCTGCCCCTTTAATTTTTTTCACAAAATAAACCACCAGTGATTCCACTGAGCATGTTAATGACAGGGCAGGGCCAGCAACCTGCTTCTTCTCTAACAGGGGTTCTTCTCTCCCCAGGTGCTTTTGTTATCTGCTGGACTCCAGGACAAGTTGTGCTCCTCCTGGACGGCTTGGGCTGCAAGAGCTGCAATGTTCTAGCGGTGGAGAAATACGTCCTTTTGCTGGCAGAGATCAATTCGTTGATAAACGCTATTGTCTACTCTTACAGGGACAACGAGATGCGTAGCACCTTCCGGAGGATCCTCTGCTTTGTCTGTTACAGGAATTCCAAATACACCCCCACGGTGGTGAAGCTAAACACCACAGACCGCAGGACACTTTCTCAGAACGGGCACTTTACTGTGGATTCCTCTATTTAGCTCTTGATCGGCGAGGCAAGCACGGTGCTGAACCGCGGCCAGCTTCTGAGCGGAAGAGCAGAGGCTAAGAGCGACCTGCTTCTAAAGCAGTAGAGACTTCTTTTATGTGCTCAAGCATAAATATTTCTATAGAACACTTGTCGTCGATAAAGGACAAGATGCTTTTAAGGAACTGCTGATGGTGCGTTCTTTAGGACAAACATACTTTGAGTAGTGTTCTTATTAAAGACTGCTATTTCCAATGCAAAGTTGGTTTAATTTAGCAGCATCTAGAAGTGTGCGATGTGCCACAGGAATCTCACGTGATCTCTCCACGAGCAAAGTATTTTCTTGGTACTTCAGTATTACTGCCTTCAGAAGTAGTCGTTCCAGCGGTAGCATACTCCAAAGAGCTCTTCAGCTTTACGCGTTGCTTCCTAAACAGAGCTGCTTAGTGTTTCCCCAGAGAGTCTTATTCAGGTTGTGTTCCACCCACTTCAGAAGTCGTATTCTTCTTAAGGCCTCTTCCGAGAGGAATCTGTTTGAATTGCTTCCTGAGAAGCAGATTCCTGCTTTCTTAAGTGTCTGTTGCTGAATTTCAAAGTATTCTAGCCTTTTGGAGGATGGCTGAGGAGCACCTAATTCTTTCCTGCGATGGAGAGTGATGCTGTAACTAACTGCAGTTGTGTTTGTGTTCTGCTAAGTGATACCATGTGGTATTCACAAGTTCATTGCCTATTCATAAATGTGGAGTGAGTCATGTTCCCATTAAACCATCCTTCTACTCGCAGAGAGCCCTTTGGGACAGGTTTAGGTTAGATTCCAAGGCAATCAGTATTTTGCTGTAGGTTTTAATGTGCAGTTTGTACCTTAATACTCAGCTGCCCAAATAATGTGCTAACAGTCTGTTTGGATGTAGTCTTTCTCTCAGCAAAGCACCGCAAGACACTTAGCAGTATTAATGAATATTAGTGCACGTAGGATCTAGTTTTCTGAGTAACTCCACTTGCCGCATGGCAACTGTCACTTGGGACTGGGAGGCCACAGCGGGAGGGCAGAGGCTCTGCTGGCAGAAGAATATTCACAGCTGAGAAACTGTAAATACTTCTCCAGGTTTCCTTTACATTCACGCTGTTAAACTTTAACAGTGTGAATGTGCCTGGGACAGTCTGAAATCCAGAGTTAATTCTTTACTGGGGGCTTCTGTGAGAGCAGGGAGAGGCTAACAGAAGGCAGGTTTTGGAATATCGTCTAAATTTATAACTTCAGAGGGTTGGGGTTTTTTCATAAACCAGCCCTGTTCTGTCAAATGATCAGCTTCCTGACTGATCACCTCAGCTGGCTTTGCAGAGAAGACAACTCACTGGTGGCATTGTTACTCAAATGTGTGTATATGGACTTTTTCTTGCAGAACGTGGTCAGGAAGCGAGTGTTAAGGTGACAGTCTCCTGGATTGCCTGAAACAATCTTGGAATATGGTTCCCATCTCTGTGTCCCAGAGACTTTTTGAATAAATATTTTGTCCTGGGTTTTAGAAAAAAGACTTGGCATTTTTCCCCTTATCTCCCCGTTGGGAAGCCCTGGGAAAAGTAGCATCTTCCAGTGGTGTGTGGTGATGCTGGAAGGGAGGGATCGTGGCCTTCATGCTTGCAGCCCTTGGTCTGTTGCTGGAAAACACCAGACTTGGCTGGTTTGGGGACATTTCACAGCATTAAAGCATACTGGGTGGTAGGTCTAAGGGAAGGCAGAATTTTATTGCCAAAGATGACTGCTAGTTACTTTTACTTTCCCTGGAAAACATTGTTATTGGGATGTATGTACACACTGCAGAGGAAGCAGGTGCTGAATTAGCAGTAGCTGTGGGAAGACTAATAGTGAGCACCTGGAAAGCTCTTGCTGGGAGTGATGGAGCTGGGACAGAACAAAGTTGACCTTTTCTGCTTTCCTGAACATCCCCAAAGCAGGAAGCGTGTAAGTCCTACTTCACACAAGGCTAATTTTACAATTAAATGCATGCCAAGTTCTGCGCTTTTTTTTTTTTTTTTTATTAACAAAGGAGGAAGGAGGAAATATGAATGTTCATATTGCTTAGGTGTGGGATTAGTACCAGTCTAATTTAACCAGGGGGGTGGGTGTGTTAAAGAACTGACTGTACGGCATTTGGGTGTGAATGAATCTTTGTAGTGGGTGAGATGACACTGGGCTTCTAAAAGAACTGCACTTGGCTTTCCTGCCCAGTTGGGCCTTTAATAAGCTGCACACGTTCTCCCCTGCGGGATCTGGGAACCAGCCTGCCCTCGGCCTTCCGCCGGCCGCTCGCCGAGCGGCGTTTCGGCAGTGCCGTCCCGCTCTGACGGCGCTTTCGTGTAAGTACCCACAACACAGGCAGGCTTTAAGCCATTGGCAACACACTCTTGCTGCTTTATGATCCCCATGTAGAGAGCAGGGTTTCTGAAGGGTGGTTTTTTCAGTATTTTAAATGACTGTTTTAACTTTAGACCAACTGTGACACTGTCGTGCGCAACACTGATGGAATCAAGGCTCTGACTGGTTTGTACCAGGCAGAACATCCTGGCTACGTGGAGGATGTCAGCACTTTCTGTATGAAACCGCTTCAGCTGAATAATGGTACCTGACTGTACAAAGGCAGCTTATAGCCTAGCAGGCTTCAAAATGCATGATTTCACAAAGGTAAATAAGCAACTGATCGGCATAAGGAGGAGGAAAAAAAAAGTCCCAAACCTTTAATGGAGCTTGTCTGAGTGATGGCTGGCACCCATCAGGAATGGAGCTGAGTTGCCTGGAATTCTTCAGTGAGATTTTTCATCTCGAGTGACTTGGGAGTCGTGGATTTCTAGTTGTTGCCAGCTGGCTGTAATAGAGGAGAGAGCAGGAAATTAGGAGTCAGAGAAGCTAGGCTGGAAAGTGCTGTTTTCAGAGAGATTTGAAAAGAAATGGTGAATCAATGAGGCAGAAGAGATAGGAGAAGGATTTTAACAGCCCTCCCAGCGGTGAAGACGGGGAAGGGAGAGGGGGGAGATGTAAATGGTGTATAGAGAACATGGATCACAAAAAAAGAGTTTTAGGCTGTGCAGAATTCCACACAACTTTCTAATTTTATTTGGAAGCACAAAGCCTTGTCTAACTACATGGAGGCAGGAACCACGTTGCGCTGTATTTTCTACTTGCTCTTTTGTGTCTTAAACAAGATGCTGCAGAAAAGGGTGTGGTGTTACCTGATTACATGTTTGTTTTCCAAAGCTGCTTAGGAGACTAAATATAACTTCTGTCATGGAATACAGAGCTGGATGCTGCCAGGCTCTTGGGATAGCTTTTTTTTTTTTTTTAAATTCATGATCCATAACCTATGGTGTTTCTAGCTTAAATGTGACAATATCCCTTTTTTCAGTTTGAGAAGATCACTGTCTTTTTTTTTCATAAATCACAGTACAAAACTACCTTTGAAGGTTCATCATTGGCTTCAACAAGCTTTTATTTTTAAGAGGAAATCCCTGAAACTAGCATGTGGGGTTTTTTGTGGTGTGGGTTTGGTTTTTTTTTTTTTTTTAGAGGCAATTAAGATTGTTCTAGACTTATTGTGTGTTGGGTAGGAGGAAGGAAGAGACACCTAGGAACTATTTTAAAGGGATCAAACGTGGGACAAGTGAGAACACACAACTTGATCAAAGATAGGCCGTATGGCTCCAGGAATGAGAGGTCATGCCTCGCTGACTGGTTGGAATTCCTTCAGCAAGCTGCTGCCAAAAGTAATATGGATTTTGGTGTGTTCTTTGGGGAGGGTAGCACTGCAAACCAATACTGCAGGGACTGATGGACTCCGAAGGTTTATTTTATCGAAGAAAAAAAATTCAACAAAACCAATGTGCAGGAAGGGAGAGACAGAATAAGGGGGGAAGTGAGATTAATGGGGGAAGCTGGTGATGGTGGGTTTTTCTTTGTTTTTGAACTTCAGTTTGTCATCTCTCTGACCTACTGAGACATGGAAAATGAAAATCAAAGTTTCTGCTAGACTGTAAGTGTAGCCAATGCAAAAGTTAAGCTTTCTGGAGTCAGCTGTGCTTTTCTGAGTCTTGGGCAATAGCGGAATATCGGGGCAGAGAGTTTATTTTTAACGTGCAAGGGTGACTGGTGAGGCACCTGGGGCCCCTGGGCTGCACCATGGTGGTAGATATTTTAGGAACCCACCCATAGGTTTGCATTGTGCTCCCCCAGCCGAAGGCCGGCAAGGAGACAGCGAGCACCCCGAAGCTCTTCTGGGGTGAGTTCTCCTTGGCTTAGGACACACGTTAGTGCGGTTGTGAAGTGAAGCCTGATATCTCTGCTGTGGATTGGCATGTGTGTAGTCAGGATAATTTAAGAAGGGTCACACTGATGGTGTAATAATGACTTCCTGTGGTGTTTCTGTGAAAAGCTTGTCTATAAAAAGCGCGATGTTTAGCAGCAGTGGTTGGGCTTCACGGGTCCACATTCCCACACAGTTTGTGAGTGTAACTTCTGTGAGCAAAAGTGAGGCGAAGCTGTGCCTTATCTCCTTGAATCTGAAAGCTGTTACAGCCCAGAGTCCAGCTTCAGACCGAGTTTCTGGAAGATGCTTCTCTTCTAACTTGGTCTTGACCAGGTTTTGTCCTTATGCTGTGGCTGTCACAGAGGACAGAGCGGGCACCAGGAGGAAGAGGTAAGGAGGGGCTCTGATTTGCTTGCAGTTCCCAGCAGGGAAACCAAAACTGTCCTTCAGTTGTTCGCACCCATTTCCCACTAAATCTCCCCTCAGTCTCTTCTGTACTGGTGACAGCATTCACCTGACTTCTGCTTGGCTTACATCTGGAAAGTGGCATTTGGTTGAGTTGTGTTGACCCTTTTCATGGTAGAACCAGTTTTATGCTCTAGGTTTTCTTTGCTCATTGGAAGGAAAAGAAACTGGAAAAAATGTCCCTAGGTTTTCTCCGAAAGGTTATTTTCAAATGTGCTTCTAGATGTCTCTAAAGCTGCAAAGTATCCCCGTTGCACCTGAGCTCTAAATGGGAAGAAAGTCCAAAGGCAGCAGGAGAATATTTTCCCCTTAACCTTCATAACTGTGGGCTCATCTAGACTTCAGTGTCACCAACCAGGAAGCAAGAGGAGCTTGCATGCTGGATTTTGCTCTGGTATAGTAATTTCTTACAAAATTCTTTGGTGCTACCCACCTCTCATTTATTTATTTTTTTTTTAGCACTTAACACCCACTTTTGACCTGGTAGGAGTAAGGCAGCGTGGCAGAGCAGTGAGATACCTGTGGCTAATTGGCTGCAGTGCTGTATGGTGACAAACAGAAATGCTTTTGGCACTGCTGCTTTTCTCTTCTTGCTGCCTCCATGCCTTGGGGACCTTCACTGAACTGGTCCCTGCTTTCATTTTCTCTCTGACTGTCAGGGAAATCACACTTTTTATTGCAAATGGAGATCAAAGATGCATCCTTGTATCTTGATGTTTTCTGGCACGGGCTGTTGAGCGTAATGCAGCTTTCAGTGCTCGATCAGTTTATTTTACTATTTGCTTGATCTGGCAGTAACAAGCAACTTAGTTTGCAGCCGAATCAAAGCAAAACCCATCAGTGTTTGGAAACAAAACAAATCGTGTCCAGCAGACACTTCACAAATAGGGAGGCCAAAGCCAGAGCGTGCCAGCTGAGCGTGGATGGGGTGTCCTCGGTGTCCCGATGGTGAATTGTCACCGCGGTGTTGCACGTGGTCTCAGGCATGGACTGTGCAGTCACCTCCAGCTGCTGCCCCAGCGCCTGACGTTCCCGAGGCTGGTGCAGCGGCAGCCGAGGCACACGGAAACAACTCGAGGTTGAAGCTGCAGGACGCTGTGCATGAATAGCTCCAAGCAGAAGTCGGGATCGGTACGACTGCGCCCGTGCTGGGGTGCAGCTCTCCAGGGCCCACGGAGATCTCCAAGTGGTGTTTTGAAATGGTGAGTGTAGGAGTCTCCTTGGAAGTAGCTCACGAGTCCCCTTACTGGCAGGCAAACCTCGGCAGCTGCTGCGGGGATGAGGGTAGCTGTTGTGCGACGTGCTGGAGCCTTCCTCCGCCGGGAGGCAATGTAAGCCAAGCTTTTCTTTCACCATATGTTTTCCTGTTCTCTGCCTGACGCTTCTTGTCCCCTGAGGAGGGGGGATGCACAGCCTCCCATCAGCCAGGTGTCCGCTCCTTAACGCTCTCAGCGACACCTTTCAGGGCTCCCTGGAGAGGGGCAGTGCCACCGGTATGCGAATCGAGGAGTCGGGTGACATTAGTTGTGGGCATGGGGCCGGTTTCCCACAACCTCCCTGTTAGTTTTGGGGCTGAGCAAAGCCTCTGACGGATCTGTGAAATGGATTTCACGTGCTCCAACATACAGGACACCGGCGGCAAGCGATAGTCACAGATGCAAGAGCAAGGCGAGCGTTTCTGCCCGTATGAGCAGCGGGCAGGTATCTTCCCACAGCTGCATAAAATTTCTGTATCTCACGGGCAGAGGCATTTACAAA